AACGACAGTATGTACGAAAGTCTTAACAATTCTTTTAAAATATCAGTAATTATAGTTATCCACGTTTGTTTTATATTCAAAAAGATATTGGAATATGAATCTATTGCTTAAAATCATCAAAACAAAATTTACCATGAAATGTACTTGATAAAAACGGCGAAGGTCTGACAAAAGCAAAGTAATGCAAGAGCACAAAGACAGATTTATATGCAATTTTCTTAAATATAAGTGGTATTGTTGTTTAAATTCGTATTCGGGGAGACAGTTTAATATCTGGAGGAGTCTAGAAAGCAATTTTTTTGCAAAAAAATCGAAAGGTTTATCAGACGCAGGACCCAGAATCAGGAATCCACTATATTGAATTTCTTCTTGACAGCATTCAAACCCGCATGCCCTGAAGAGAAAGGGGTTTTAGGGATAAACAGAAAGTTAATGTTTTTTCACATTAACAATATTTGGTAGATCTTTGACCTTTTGACTTGTTTCTATTTCCAAACTTGAAAAAAAAAACACCTTTCAGAAGGAAAAAAACAAGTCCAGGAATCATTGGATCTGCCATTTTCCAGTATACTAAGGGTCATACCCAAAAATGAGTTCTAAAAACAATCAGAAATTGGATAAAAAATGTTACTGACATGTGTTTGAATTAAAAGAGATTAATAAGTAAAATCATGAAAACTAAATCATTGAAAAGCGTCGTTTGCTTCTTTCTGAGCACCGAGGACATTATTTATTGAACAGCCCTCGTATATCACATATAATATAAATTAATATACTTAATCAATATTTTGCCAAGAAAACTCATGAAGGCAATATATATATTTTTATTTCCACTTGGGACCTAACTTACAAATTGATTATATTTGACTTAAGATATTTTAAGACATGCTTATAAATATACTATATTTTAAATGCCTTTTCCCTCCTTCGACCTTATTTTTCTTCAAGCCTTTAAGTGTATTTCATCTTAAAAAAACCCCCATAAAATTGACGCTTTATTAGAAAAATCACACCAGCGGTGTCATAAAATGCCGTGGGTAGACCTTTTCTTAAATAACGCGTTGTTTCGTTATGTTTTTGATTTTGGAATGGAGTGCTTTTTGAATGTGTAGTTGAATAATAATGTATGATAAAAAGATAAAATCACCCCTTCTCAATATAAGGGCTCAAATAATGTCGCCTCATTTTCATTTAAAAGAAATACCACTGATGTAATTTTTAAATCAACATTATAAATAGTCATATAACAATGAATAAGAATTCATATAATTATCGATCTGAAAGGGTATTTAAGGAGTTCCAAATTCAAATATAGTAGCCTATTTGAAATGTACGTTACTGTCGCCGAGGCAAATATTATTCTGAATCCCCTCTGTGTAATATATAGTTTTGATTCTTAAGTAAAAATTTTCTGATAAGTTAAACCTTGTATCATATATATTTCTTTTCATTACAATAAATACATTTTCTTTGTGATAATAAATAATTTTTATTGTGCAATGTCCCTGTCGCTTAATTTTATTTCAACCACATTAAAAGCAAACACAAAGATTATACACCTGATAGTTTTGTTCTCCTTTACTAATTGATGGGCTAAATTTGAGATTTCAATAGATTAATTACTCCTACTTAGATAATGTAACATGAAATTGAACAATTGGAGCAACTTTTTTAAATATGTTTACGGAATGAAAGACATTTTCAATCGTAGAGATAAGAAAGAAATGTACGTTACCTATATTTTTCCATTAAGAATATATATTAAGTAGAAAATATGAGATGACTCAGAGTAAGCAACCCCTTGTACCCTGCAAACTGGCAAAGACGTTTTGCTTAACACAATTAAAAATTATTTTTTACATGAAAAGTTATCATTTGAAATGTACGTTACTGAAATGTACGTTACCATGAAATTCAAATTAAGTGAATCTCGCACGAATTTTCATGTATTCTCATACTTTCACACAGTCGAATGTGTACACAAAGGAAAGTTTCAAAGGTTGGAGGTCGGCTAAATCCCAAAATTAATGAAAAGAAACGTTTCTGCTGAGGAAAAAAAATATATTAAGGTCAATTATATGTAAAATAATTTTGATACCTGGTATATATTTCTGAATACGAAACCTGTATGATCAATTCTTATGATATGCAAGTTCAAATAGTATCAATATATTGCGTGTCTAACGTATGCTTGTGGAAGAGAATTGATTTTTATATTTGAAATGTACGTTACGTATGGTAACGTACATTTCACGTATTTCTAACTGACATTTTTTTTAAATTTAGTCAATGAATTGCGTTTACACGAGCGAAACAAAATTATCGTTACAATCCATTTGACAACTGGCCACATAAATCCATCTAAATGCACCCCCAATCCTCGTAAATGTTTTAGACTGTTACCACATGCTAGAAAATTTATTTCTAAGTGTCTTAAATTCATCTTTGGCAACCTTATTGCAATTTGTTTACTTTTAATATGCGACTTTTCGTCAATATTATAATTTAATTGTTGTTGATAATCTAAACAAGGTATGCATAGGCTTATAATTGGTAAAAAAAGAAACAAAAAATTGAAAAAAAGAAACAAATAGGCCTAAACCCAGAACACAAGACGGTCACGTACCTTTCAAATACTGAAAGGCACACAATACTCAGTTTTGTTTGAATCATTGCATTTTGGGTTATATTTTTCCAGATCTGCTGAAAAGCACGTATGTTTGTGTTTTGAAAAACGATGTTGCAACATATTAAATGAAATTGTTAACATACTGTCGATGGATATATTCGGAATAGATTTATGTTCAGTTTCCATGGCCAAACACGAGCATATGTTAGATCATAGCAAAATACGTCTGACTCTTATATTTTTTTGTCTGTACCCTTGCACACAGGTAGAAGTAACTAGGCTACGACCGGTGTCAATTTCAGCGAAACAGCACAAAAGAATGGTAATGAACTGAGGTGGAGGGGACTCTCCAATAATATGTGAAATGAACGTTACCGAAGTGACGTGACATTCATGTAGTTAATGACAAATAACCTCGTTTGTTACATTATGATTTCTTATATTACTGCCTTAAAACGCTTCATTGAAATGAATTTTATGTCAATAATTGCTTTTTTTCAAAATTTTCTTATTACTAATTTACAAATTACAAGCTTGAAATGTACGTTACCTACTCATATTCTGAGGCAATTGTATCTTTATAGTGGTGTTTGCGACATATAACACAATGTGATTACATAGAGAATCCTTTTTTTAATAAACTGAATCAAAACAATGAATTTTTAGATGAATTTTAAGCTTTTTATTAAACAGAAATATATCTTGAAATGTACGTTACATTTACGTAGTTTTCTAAATCGGCATGGATATATGTTAAAAAAGATAGTAACTAAAAAATAGAATTTTTCTACATGTACATGTTAAGTTCCAGTATCTATAAAAAATGACAAGATTCCAAACTGATCGCTCTAAACAAAACAGAGAGAAGAATTTAAAGCATATATTTAAAAAAAAATTTTATACATCTGGATCAAAAAGTAACCTTTGTTTTTTGAAAGGAAAAATCAAACGCACGTTCGTTTGCCGAGGAAATATGTTGCTGACAGAGTTGGTAGGATGTGCTGGTGTTAAGATGAGCTATTCCAATTGTGATTTTAATGACTACATTTTTTTTACATATCTTTTTGGACATTGAAGAAAGAGTAACGTACATTTCAAGCTACATTTTTGAATAAAATCACCCTCTGCTTTATCGTCTTGTCATTATTCCTTGTATTATAATTTGATGAAAAAAAATCTGGAAACAAAATCTTCAGATACTTTCTTTCAAAGGTAATTGATAGAAAAATTGTTTTCTTGAACTTCATTTTTTAAAAAATCAGAGAGGCATTTGTGCCCTTATATTGAGAATGGGTGAATATCGTTAAGCTTCAAATCAGTGGAAGGTCGGGGGTCCTGTCCACAAGCACAGGAATATCAACGGTCTAGTTTAAAGTCAACATTTTGCAAAGTCTGTGATCGATACAAAGACCTTTTCAGCAAATATAATAATCAAATTGAACGGCGACTTATAAAGTTTTTTATGCAAGTTTTAGTCTATTATTTACACACTGAACTGTCTATACGGATTTCCCCGTATGTCAAATCATGCCAAGAACCATACAGTAAATAACATATGTATATAGTGGGTTTTTGATAGGTAAACAAGGGACCTTTAGTCATCCATGGCACCTGTTCCCTTCTCTTTTATTAAGCCCTAGTTTGTTTTGCCTTAAATGTGTGGTGTTTTCATGGACTTTTGAGCTTGATTTCTTCAGATTCCATTTATAGAAAGTAAGAAACCTAATTTTTAAAAATTCATTTTTCATAATCCTTTTCATTGTTGAAAGATTTTGTTTGTACTTCTCATTGGTTGATTTCCAAAAAGGAACGCAAATTATTTTGTATAATTTTACAGCCCCTTGACAACCAGCTTAATCATTTATCCAGTCTATATCAAATAGACATGTTAACCAAAAAAACATTATAAAACACCATAAACATTTGATATAAGATCTAACTATAAGGAAATCAAATAAATTCAAATTATAGATTTTATATCTATAAAAAGCAACATAAATTTATACAAAGTTGTAATTATTTTGAAATTATTATAAGAAATAGTTAACCTTTATCGATATAGGGTCAGTTTACGCTTTTTTATAATAGTGAACTTAATTAAGCATAAAATAGACGTGTTAACAAAAGACCAATATAAAACAACAACACATTTGGTTCATGTATGGGATGTACACTCTATAAAGGAAAGGAAAGGACTCGTAATTCAAATATACGGTAATATATTTATGATAGGAACAGTTATAGCGCCTGAAATTTTCTAAAGTGTCAAACAGTGACACTTTTAGATTATTCGAAATTCAAACTACTACGCTTTAATTTTCTTTACAATGCACGAGTGCGACCTGATATAGTCTTATCAGTTTAGTGCACTTTGGTACCAACGTATCTTGCAACTTTGAATCTACTGCTATCAATATGGGCTTAATTCATTTTGCTTTGGTTTTGGTGTTCTCATGTTGGACTGGAAGGTTTGAACATTTAACATTAAACCTCTTTAAAGTGGGATTTTTTTCTTTTACTGTAATTTTCTTGTAAGTTTGTTGATTTTTACCCTTTTCTCCATAGATTTGTATGTGGAAAAGAGTCATTTCATAAATCCAAGAGCTATTACGTTCGAGATCTATGTAAGACCGTGTTTTAACTAAGAATTCTTTCCTGTGTTTCATATCTGTTTTTAATTTCATTGAAAGTGTGTCAACATATATACTCGTATTATGCTCCTTAGTTCTTCTAGGAAGGTTTTAATGCCAACTCATTTTCTGAGAACTAAGCAAGTCGAAATAATAAAAAAAAATCTTGGCTCCGAAGAAGTATATCATACTTACATTCATTATATATTCATAGTACAATATACATACCCACGAGGATCTCTCTCTGATAGTGTAAGTGGAGATGACAAAGCGATTTCAGTTTATCATGTTGGGAGAGGAGCACAAGGAATACCCGTGGGATACAATAAAACATACACCGATGTATTCGTAAGAAATGTCATAACATCTTAAGAAGCTTAATGTTGTTTTTTTTTATTAGAAATACGTATCAAAAAACTTGCAACCGAATGTAACTGTATTAAAACAATAAATACTCATAATTTTGTTAAGGTCAGCACAAATGGTCAAATACTTTTTGGAAACAACAACAGCAGCCCTCGGCCGATGGCACATTACACAGGACCTGACATGCTCGCACCTTACTGGACAGATTTATTTCCAGTTGGTGGAAGCGATGGATATGTTTTCTATAAAACATACAGTTCTGACAGAGCTCAAGATCAAAGTGTTATTTCAAAGGCAGATTTTGCTGTTCTCTTCAACAGTGGGAATTCAGGATTTAACGCAAAATGGGTTTTAGTTGTGACCTGGTGGAATACTAAAGTGGTGGATTTTCCCGCAGATGATGTAACTAACTCTCTCTCTCTCTCTCTCTCTCTCTGGTATTTGAAAAGTTACTATTAACCAAGGTATAAAATATCTTTTATTATTTTTTTCAGCGAGTTACGATCCAGTGCATCCTTATGACTGATTTTGTCACAACTTACGCAATATACAACTATATGAACGTAGATGTTGATCCAAGCCATTCTTCGAAGAGCGTAGCTATTGGATATAAAACAAATATTCAGACATTTAGTAACGTTCATTCTCTTACAGACGACGTTTTCAGAATGAGTAATTTCAGAGGAAACACAGGTTTGTGGTTAAGGATTTTCATCATTATTGTTATCTTACAAAATTCACATATTTATAAATTCTCTTAATTGTGTGGTGCAGTTGTCAGAGTAGACTTCCTTAGGTTTTTAATTTTGTTTAAAAAATGATTCAAAATAAAACTTAATCAATGTAATTTTTCATCACGGTTGGCGTCATTTGAGAGTAAAATATTTAGAATACCATAGGCTATTGTGACATTGAACATTTTTAGCAAAACTCTGCAGAAATTTGGCAGTTTTCGTCTCTTTCGGAATGATTTATTCACTCTTGCTATCCTAAAATAGGCTTGGAAGCATTTTTATAACACATTCTAGGAAAAATCTTGAATTTGTCGCACTTTTGATAATTTTTCACAGCTTTTAATCAAGATGTTGGACATATGTTATTTGTCCTGTAAATACATTCAATATGTTCTCCGAGAAAAGACACTGATGATGTTTTATAGTACTAAATGATCTGCTTAATCGAATTTGGGAAGATTTCTACTATCAGAAATTACAAGCGTTTATCACTTAATCATAACAGTTATTCATGCCAGTGAATTAAAATATTAGTACATGATTTATGTTATAAAAAAATAATTCTGCTTCAAAATTCTATGAAAATTCTATAAAATAATGAAGCACCATGAAAACCCTTTATTATCTTGCATTTTAAATAATTATAATGATATATGTTGATTTTACACTCCAAGAGTTCTTTATCTGTATTTGACTACTAAAACCTTATTCTAATCTAGGAGAACGTGGTATTTGGTTCTACGTCATAGCAGATGGTATGTATCATTAGCTGCAAATTTCACTTTTTACCCCATATTTCAAAGTATGTTTTGCATTTATATTCTGCATATATTTCGTCTACTGGATCTAGCTCATTTTTACTTCTAGCAAGTATGAGTGTAAATGTTTGAACTTTTGGAATAATCAACTTTTTTAATAATTAAAATTTGAATTTTTTAATTATTTTATTTTATTTTATGTATTTATTTATTTATTTATTTTTACATTTTTATCATTTGACTTTTATTTCACGATTGTAAATGGAAGCCTTGCCAAAACGGAGGCAGATGCGTCGAACAATATGGGGGTTATAAATGCATTTGTGCAACTGGCTTTACTGGTGTCAACTGTGAAAATGGTAAATGTTTGCTGCTGACCCAAAGATCTGGGACCCGTTTTACCAAACAACTTACGACTACGACCAAATTCAATCTTGCAAATTTTTTTAACTTTCATTTTATAAAAATTTTATTGAATTTTAACACTAATTTTAACAATAATTTTTTGCAAATTTTTATAATCAATTAAATCTGTTGGTCTAATTCGAAATTTCTTTTTTATAAAACGAAACTCAGGGCTCTAGGATCTTATTATTATTTTTTGAAAATCTTATTCTTTAAACCGCTCACGGTAGCCTAGTGGTAGAGATTTGCTTCGGGAAGTTCTATTGATTTCATTGTGAAAACTCACTAATTTTTAATTTTTTTTAAAAAATCTTTTCTGTTCCTGGGTATGAAGTCTCAGTTCATTGTTATAATAAACATTTTTGAATGGGACGTTAAACAATATAAAATCAATTAATCTTCTTCTATATTATCCAATTCATTGTAATGACGTTTTATTACATTATACTCAGATTATTATTAAGGCTATTGAGTCTTCTGTTAATCGGTTGATTTTGCTTTTAGATATCAACGAATGTTTGGGTTCCCCGTGCTTCAATGGAACATGTATAAACAGCCCTGGCTCTTATACATGTGACTGTGATTCAGGATTCACGTCCAAACTTTGTGATCAAGGTATAAAAGTTAAATATTTGATGTGTTTGTCTTGTAATGATAGAGTTTACTACGTTGCAATTTTCATTATTTCTCTTTGATTCCTGACAGATATTAACGAGTGTGACAATATAACCATGCCCTGTCAAAATGGCGCATCTTGTCATAATGAAATAGGATCATTCTATTGCACATGCGCACCAGGATGGAACAGTACCCTTTGCGATATAGGTAGTAATATTTTATATAGTTCGACATACCTAGCTAATAGATCATTTATCTTGAAATATTATCAAAGGTAGCATTTTGTAATCATACATGACTTCAATTAATGAATGCATAGAAAACGTGATCAACTGATTGATTGAAGACTTTATTTTTCAATTCTGTGGCTTTAGACATCAATGAATGTGATGAGGATCCATGTGTATATGGAACTTGTGTTAATACAGCAGGATCTTATCGTTGTGTATGCAAACCTGGATTACAAGGACAACATTGTAACCGGGGTAGGTAAATGACAAAATTGTTTGAAAATCACATTTGAATTCACTTATTTTTTTTTAATTCATCTCAAATCTGATGTCAAAATATGCATATTCACTGTAAGTGAATCTTAAAAAAGATTTTTTAAAAAAACTTCATATGCAAAAAAGTGTAGGTAAATCAAAAGAGTTTAGTCAATGGTTTGATTATTTACAGATAAAAATGAGTGTCTTAACAACACATATCTGTGTGAAAACAATGGAACATGTGTGAACACTGTAGGCTCCTTCCGATGTAATTGCCGTTATGGGTTTACAGGGCTGACATGCAGTTTTGGTAATTATATTTTTACCTATAAAACAAATTATTTATATATATTGTTGAATCCTGCAATGCCCTTATATTACAAATAAAAGTGTCATATAGAAGAAGAGCAAGCCTTCCAAAGTAATTTCTAGAATTCAAAGAAACAAACATTAAGCAAGATAATGATGAAGGAGGGTCTGTTTAACAAAATGCATACACTATTAAAACTAGTGTTCAAAAATTGTTCATACTCATACTTATTTATATACTTTGGGATATATAAAAAAGTGTCCAATTTTGTTTCCATGGTTTAGAATTATGAGCAAAAGATTGTTAAGCTGATCGTGTAATTCAAATGCATAAAAATTTCTTTTACTCTCTTAGATATCTTGGAAATGGTGAAAACTCTAGCCAAATTGTGATTGATCTGTTCTCGGTTCAACATTGATATATACATGTATCAATAGAATTGTAATACTTATTTGACTGTATTGATCTACTTGTTTACCATCTTATGTTCTCTCTTCTTTCAGAATCACGCAAACTACACGCAGATCATAATGTTTTAGGTTAATAAATTTGGTCTTTTATTCTATGAACCATTAAAAGTTTTAAAGATTATGTGTTCTTATTTATTCATTTTCGAATGGTAATAGAAAAGGATTTGTACAGTTGGCTTATGTATATTAATTTTCTATATACATGTACATTTAAAGACAACAAAAACGTGAGATTTCTTGAAACGTTTAAAAAAAACGAAAGTTCGAATTTTATAAAAGTTCTAGTGTCTGTCCAAAGTTTAATTTTGAATCAAAACTTGGAGGAAGAAATAAAAATATCAGGCAAAGCAGTTGGAGTCACTGTCAGATTAAAACATACATATAAGTGTACATTCTAATGCAATTGTTTTGTAAAACACGATTTATATAAAAGTTTTAAGCAGTAAAACTGTCCAAGGTTTTACATTGTGACGTCAAACTTTGGAGGAAGAAAAACACAATATCCAAAATAAACAAATATTCAGGAAAAATAAGACGTAAATAAAACAAACAAAATGTACATTCATATAATATGTTTAATTCAGATTAAGGCGAAAAAATATTATTCAGTAAAAAATTGGTAACTCTTTCAAAAATATATATCAAAAACATTTTTTATTTATATATTTTTATTTATATTACTAGTATTTACATATAGTGATTTATATTCATATTTTCATTTCTTTTAATTTTTTGTAGGCACATTTGAAAAAAATCAACAAACAAAATATTAAAATTTATCATAATTGTTTTATAATCATCAACAAACGTAGTGGATAGTTATTTAAGTTTTGTTCAAATTAAGCACAGAAGGGGCTCAATGAGAAAGAGGGTAGGAGAGGTCTAATATTTTCGAAGTTATTTTGATCAGTCATGCAGTCTTCATGCCCTCCGTTATTTGAGTACGGAGATAATGCAAGTTAGAAACAAATTTTGAGAACGAAATCTTTATGTCCACAGAAGAACAAGATTGCAAACAGTCACACAAGGACCCAAATAAACAAATCTGTTGTTAGGGTTTGCTTTACTTGTCTGAGCTCTCAAAGCCAGACTAAAAAGGGAATTGTGATTGAGATAAGTGTTGAATAAAAATCATTTAATTTCATCAAAAATTATTGTTAAAAAAAATTAACGATATGTCAAAAAGTACCATTTGCGATGGTTTAATTCCATTTCTACTGTAAGAAATTAATTCAAAATTTCGTATAAGCATTTAAACGTTTTTAAAAATTAATAATAACATTCACTATGGGTTTACTTTTGCGGAAAAATGATAAATCGATAAACCATCGTGATTATTTGAGAGATCTATCAATAAGACAAAACAATCAGAAAGATACATTTGCATAAAATTAATAAAGGCGGTGGAGAGATGAATAATTTCTGATTAAAAAGTAAAATCTTTCCAAATGAAGAAAATCTTTAGTATAATTTGTATAACTAAGTAAATCTAGAAATTAGAAATAAAACATAAATCATTATATGAGGTCTTTGTTCTTGGATTATGGAGATAACAAACAGTGTTCAACCTCAAAGTCCATATGACAATACAAATCGGGGGGCGGAACAAACAAAGAAATTTGAAGAGACTTTTAATTAACAGAAGCATAATTAAATCTGTTGAGTTTTGACTTCTGTAAATAATTTGTGTTATGATATTTTTTAGTCAGTTTGTACACGCAATAAAACTCAATAGTTTTACATAAGTGAGAGAAAACTTGTGAGAAATGTGTTATGTTAGTGTGTCAAGGTTAGTCAGCTGGATTTCTATTGCGAAGTACTTCATACAAATCAAGAAATCATACCTGAAGAAAAAACTATCTACTTCATAAAGAGCTTATTTTTAAAAGTTCATGCAGCTAATTGGTAGCTAGACGTTCTAGTTGTGCTAATTTTGTAACGTTATGCAGAATTTTAGTTTTAAAAAAGGGTATGTCATAAAAATGTTGTAAACGAAAATATAAAGAGCATATATGCCCTTGAAATTTTCAACACAGGAACTCGAAAATATCATTTTTTTTTGCTATTGTTTATTATCTGTTTGATCTCTAATATATACATATTTATGACTTATAAATATTTACATATTTATATTTGTAGGACTCCATATCTCAATTTTTTGCAAAAACAATTTTCTTAGTTCTTTTCTGCAAAATCTTAAGGAAGTAATGATATGATTGTTATTGTATTCTGTAGCATTTGTAAAACAATATGGTAATAAAGTATCCAAAACATGGATATAAACTATATTTTAATGATAATTTAAGTTTTAAAAAAAGAAAAGAAAGGAAGCAGACCTCATGATAAATGCTTCAGTTCTCTTATCTCTATGTTAAGGAACAATACAAAAGTTCAAGACAACGACAAGAAAATTTACTCTTCTTATCGGTTTACAACACTTTATGTTAACATAAATTGCACTTGAACACACATATTTTCTTGTCATGCTTTTAGTTCAGAGTATCTTTATTTTGGGAGTGTTTAAATACTGCGTATGTTCGTCAGATACTAAGAGGTATGAAACTTTTCTTTATTTTTTGTGCCTTGAATTCTTATTTTAGTTTTGAATATTTTTACTATATGTTTTCCTTTAATTTTTTTTTCAAAATTATTATTATATTTTTTTCAAGATATATCCTTGGACAATCACAAAGACTTAAACCTACAGATCGTTCTGTTAGAGCATTATGTAAGATTTTGATAAATAAATTTTTAAAAATATTCATTTTGACGCTTTAAAATTCTCTTTGCTGACTTAGAATCTTTATAGTGCATTTAGTAATTTTATATAATTGCAATATCATGAATGCCCACGGTGAAAATACTTCTGATACTCAGTTAAATTTCTTGAATATAGTACAGTACACATACCCACGTGGATCCTTAGCACATAGCCTCGCTGCTGATGACCAATCATCTCCAGCAATACTTGTCGGTGATGGATCACATGGAATACCTATTGGATACAACAAAACATACCGAAATGTTTATGTAGGTGCCTTCTCAAAGTTTTTAAAAACTTTCAAATAAAGATAAATCAGAATAAAGTAGATCAATGTTATGGTCAATCTTACACTTTTATACGTATTGTGAATCAATTTTGGTTTAGGTCAGTTCAAATGGCCAGATAGTATTTGGACAAGAAAGCCATTCTCTACATCCAGAGAGGATTTATAAAGGACCGGACATGCTGGCACCCTATTGGACAGACCTGTATCCAACAGGTGGTGATAATGGCTATGTGTTCTACACAACTTACAGTGCTGACAATCCGTTGGATCATGTTGTGATTTCAAAAGCTAATTTTGCTGTTCTCTATAACAGTGGAAATTCGGGATTTTCTGCAAAGTGGGTTTTAGTTGTAACGTGGTGGAACACAAGAATAGTGGATTTTATCGAGGATGTAATCTCTCTCTCTCTCTCTCTCTTTCAGATTTCAATAGATTAATCAATCTTAGATTATTGGCATATTGCAGTTTTTTTTTTTACTTTCATAAATAATTACAAGTACATGTTAATCATTGCATCGTTAAATCAGCTTTTACAAATGTCTTTCTTTTACAGCGAATCACGATTCAGTGTGTTGTAATGACAGACTTTATCACAACATATACAATTTATAACTACATGGACGTAGATGTTGATCCGTCCCAGACCTCCAGACAAGTGGCCATTGAATATAAGACTAATCTGGCGTCATTTCGTAACGAAAATTCATTCAAAGCCAACGCTTTCAACTTGACTAAAGTTCGTGGAAATACAGGTTCTAGAAGATTTTTTCTTAATTTTCTCATTCAACTCCTTTCATGTGTTTTTCCTTTCCTTTTGTGAAAATGATCAGATCATCAGTTTAACGATTTATTATCCTGACCTTGCAGGTGAATATGGTATCTGGTTTTACACCCTAGCGGATGGTAAGTATAAGAGTAATCAAATACTTTTGTCTACATATACTAGTAAACACTTCATATGTTAGTTTTCTTTTTTCACCCTAATCTTTATTAACTAATTGTTTGGATTGCTTTCAGATAATGATTGCAAATGGAAGCTTTGTCAAAATGGAGGTTCTTGTATTGAAAAATATGGCGGGTACCAATGTTCATGCTATCCTGGTTTCACTGGAATTAACTGTGAAAATGGTAAAATTCTATATATATTTCATTGTTCTTAATGTCTCATGACTATCCAAGTTGTTTTCATTTCTTACAATCAATGTATTGTTGAAAGAATAAATTATGCATTTTGATTATACTATTCAGATATCAATGAATGTCTGGACTCTCCATGTTCCAATGGAACATGTGAAAATAATCCTGGATCGTACATATGTGGTTGTGATCTAGGTTTCACAGGGGAACTTTGCGACCAAGGTAAGAAAATACGTTTATCTGTCCTCCTTTCTGGTTTCATTTTTATATTATATACACAAAACTACTTTTTATCATTGACAGATATTAATGAGTGTAACAGTACAATAATTCCCTGTAAAAATGGTGCTTCATGTTTCAATGATATTGGGTCATTTAATTGCACCTGCGCACCTGGATGGAACGGAACTTTCTGTGATCAAGGTAGATAATTCTAACTTGTATTTTTCTTTTCTATCGTTGAAATGAGATTTTGTGCAAAATAGTAGACTGTTCCATCACAAACGTCATATTCATTAGCATAATTTTTGTGTTTTTTAACTTGATTTGTAGACATCAATGAGTGTGAAGAAGAGCCCTGTTTATATGGAACGTGTGTCAACACAGCGGGCTCCTATTATTGTAACTGCAGAGCTGGAATAGGAGGACAGCTTTGTGACGAAGGTAAATAGGATATATCGATTAGTGTGTGAACATGTATAACACAGAAAATGTAATAGTGGTTTATTTAGGATACATGTTTTAGCTATAGGAAGGTATTGTTCTACCGGTACTTATCATCATGACGTCACATTAACGTTGATGAGCCATCAAATTAATGAATTGAAATAACTTGAAATATAATCAATGATCAAAAAAAGGAAAACAATTACATATACTTCAAATTAACAAGGTTGGATCCTAGTATTCAAAGTCTTCAGTTTTTTTGTCATGTATATTTTGTCGCCAGCCTGGCGTAGTGGTTAGAGCGTCTGCTCTAGAGTCGCAAAATTAGGAGTCAATCCTTACATTGCGGGCTCGAATACCACTGTGGGACGTGGAGACCGGTCCTTCGGATGAGACCATATAAATCAATGTCCCGTGTCGCAGTAGGTGCTGGCACGAAAAAGATCCCTCCCAACTCAATGGCCCTGAGTGCCGAGTATATTTCAAAATTTGCCGCTCTCCGCTGGGAAGTGGTGGCGTCTCCATATGAGCAGAGACATATAAAACCATGGTTTTATATGTCTCTGATATGAGTGAAAAATTCTCGAGAGGGACGTTTAGCAATACACAATCAATCAATGAAGTATACTTTTAGTTTTTACACACATTAATTAAAAATCAAAACAAATATTGGGGGTCAATATGCTTCTTTTGGCAATGCAGTATATTTAATTTTTTTTTGAACTGAAATTTGTGTCTTCATCAAAAATCACGTATTCGACGTTTTTCCTCCAATGTTTTTATCCAAATAAATCAAGTCGTATTAGTCAGTTCAAAAATAAAGACACTTTGAAATTGTGATTAAGAACAGGTTTTAAATTACTTCGCATAATCAATTATATTGTGGGAGATATGAATTTGTGGGTGAATTTATTCCATGCAAATTAACTCCAACGACAGTTAAAGATTTCGAAGAATATTTATAAAACGGACGAAAGTTATTGTATATTTCAACATATTAGTCGAATAAGATTTTTCCTAATTACTTATTCATTCAGATGATATCATATTTTTACTTGGTATCATTTTTTAACTGATCACATCACATTTAAAATACTAGTAAGGGATAACTCTCATTTGAATGCACTTATTTGCTTTGGGTATGTAATTAAACTTAATTGTTTGACAATATCACATCACAATTTATGATATCGCAAATTCAGAATTGCATTAATAAAATCACCAATCAATTATTAGTGTCATGCTACTTATGAATTCATCATATTTCTGATTAATTTAGTGATACAAGTGAATAATAATATAATCTACATCACCCCATAACAATGATAATAAAAAAAACAGTAAGTAATGTGAAATTAAAATTGATAACAATTCCTCCATTTCAGATGTGAATGAGTGCGTGAATGCACACCCATGTGAAAATAATGGCACTTGTGTTAATACTCTTGGAACCTTCAAATGTACATGTACTCTGGGTTACGTTGGGTTGACTTGTAGTTACGGTATTGTATAGTCAAATACTTCTAAATTTATTTGTTTGATTTTGTTTTGTCCTAAAACTTACATGTAAAATTAATCAATTTTTGGTTAAAACAATGAATGGTTTCAATATACTGTATATATCTAATTGATTATTTTTTACTTTCAGAAAATAACAAAATTGTGGCTGATACGATTTCTTTATCATAGAAATTCTCAGAACTTGCTAATTTCTGATATTAAAACATAATTCCACTTTTAAAATATACTGTTTTTTTTTTTAGAATATAGTTTTGTTCTATCCTATACGTCTGTCTGTCTATCTGTTTGTCCGCAAAAACTTAAACCTTGCTTTATAACTTTTGAGTGGATGGGGCTATCATAATGGCTTCAATATTTCACATTTTTACATCGTTTATTTTGCCTTCAAATTATTCCTTTGGAAGGATTGATGATGTTATTTATTTACTATCAGTATATACTACACTATATACAAGTATTTGTTATTCCTTTTTTAAAAAATGTCTTTTTTGTCAAATCAATTAGAAAATATATATTGCAAAAAGTGTTTCAGTTGATGTGATGAGCTATTGACAAAGTCAATAAACATAGATCTATGTCACAAATATAAATGTACGAGGGGTGATCAAAAAGTTCGCGAACTATCTCTATATCTACAAAACCACAATTCAGATTGAAATAAAATTTGGTACACACATAACCATACACAAGTTCTATAAATAACATATGCTGAATAAAGTTTTGCTCCTTGTTTGTGACGTCACAATAAGAAAATGACGTCACTATGTAGGTCACTTGTGACGAAAAATGGTTGTCTCAGTCGTACTCGTTAAACAAATGACTGTACGATTTATTATACATCTTAGAAAGCCATTAGCTGTAGCATATAATAATTTGTACACAGTTGATTAAGACAAATGACTTCCTATAAATTCAATCAATGATTGGATTGATCGCTTTAGTAAAGGAAGCCAGATGGTTAAAAATGATACCGTTGCTTAGTGAAAGCAATTAAGCAATTTGTTTTCAAAGACGTCCAATTAACACTTTGAAAAATAGTTGAATATTTGAACAATAATATAATTATTAAATACCTAAGATATCGTTTACTTTAGATTTTAAACATAGTAGATATGTTAAGTACCAGTCCACATAAAAATCAGACAAAGGGTGATATATGAGGGTTCTCAGAATTTGATGATTTTCCGCTCATAGATTTATTTTGAAGTATGAACAATGTATGTAAAATGAAAAATGTTTTGAGTCTTGGTAACCATGGAAACCCGGCCAAAGAAATTTCCCTAGCAACCGGCGGATTTTTCAGTGTTGAAGGACAAAAAATCACCTATCTTTGAGGCTTCAAATAACACGTAAATACCACGAGAATTATTCTTACTTATGGGTGTAAAAAAGATACACATTTATTGTGTTCTAATAATGTAATAAAAAATATTCAGGTCTTAAGTCAATTCTGTGGTAGACATTGGAAGGTACACATGTTTTACAAGTTTTGCTGATTCAGCATTTTTCGTGATTTTGGCAATATTCAAGGCCAAATTTTAAAAATGGCCAGATTAATACAGTTGTTGCATGTATCTCACATAAAAACAGAGGTATTTCTCTTTTAGAATTTTAGAATTTGAAGTCAAATCCATGGGTTCTTTTGAAAATCGAATCTGTTGCCTAGCAAAAAAGAATGACCTTTTTGATGCATAAAATGAGTAAACAATGTAAAAAGTTTACGGAAAAATCAAATGAACCGTTATTTATGATAAACGAGATACAAATTTTAAAATAGTATAATTAAATTCGGTCTCCCTAGCACATTATTGAATATTGCAGAATTCTTTATCTCCATAGCAACGACAGATTCTCCATAGCAACAGGGCAAAGAAAGGTAATTTTGGCATGTATTCGTGTAATCTTATTAAGACTTATTAAAAATGTCAGAAAATTCCGGTTGAGCAAAATTGACAATGAAATGTTGGTTTTATTATTGTTATTTTTTTGGTATTTAATCAACCCATATGGCAAGGATTTCGTGTACATGACAACCAAAGTTCCTATGTCTCCTGTAAAACAGATTTGACTTTGGGATTGTATTGTTTGTCATGTAATTGGATATTCAAGTAATATGCTGATAATTGCATGGTGATAGTTCGGAATGACTTTAAAATGTTGTATCAAGTTATTGAATATTGTTCAATGACTTATTTCCATAGCAACAACACCACTCCCCTAGCAACGACACAAAGCATATTCATGTTACCTGTAAATCTTTATCTAAATCACGCCATGAAGAAAAAAAATGATGTTGAAATGTTTGTTTTTCGAAGGTATTTTTAAACTCATTTAATCCATAACAACTATTTCTAGCTCATTACTCAGCAAACAATGTTACATTTTCAGTATGGGATACTCTGTAGTCGTTATTCATAATATTGACAGATTAGGCACTTGTAACAGATTTCTCAGAAAGTATTACAATGTATGAATTAATTACTCATGAAAATAAATAGATAAATAAAATGATTAACGTCACAATGGAAACATTTCCAATGATATTTCCAACTGATTAGGAAGATCAGGTTTTAATTATTCTATTGATACTTGTCGTAGATTGGAGAGATTTTTTTCCAAACGAAAAGAACCGTTCGCGGTTGCTCAAAGGTAGCACCTACTGCGTCCTACAGTGGGATTCGAACCCACGACATTTCCTACTTCGTGACTCTAGAGAATCTAACCACTGCTTCATGAGGGCCACGCGGCACATTAAAATAAATCAAAATAAGAAAAGTCGCATCGCAGTCAGTTACGGTTATTTACGTAAAACTGAAGTTTACACCATTTGAAAGAAATATTGCAAGATGTCCAGAGCTAGATCAAATACAAATGAATTTAAAACATGGCTACTCACACAAGTAGAAACTTTATTTTTGTATGTTGTTTGGTGAGATTTGCATTAATGTAGTGCAAACATATTTCAAAAAATATGCAAACAATGGTCAGAGGGTCATCTTCATGTATTCGGTTAGTTCATATCTTAAAATGGAAATATTATGCAACATAAACAAAACAATTGACATCGAATTCATCCATGTAACACGGGGCCCCTGGGCCACATCGCTCACCTGAGCACTGTGGCTAGGAAAAATCAATTCAGTAAATGCCTAAGTGGTCCCGATCCTAAAAGAGGGGGGGGGGGTGATTTGAACAAACTTGAATCTATGCATACTTGAATCTACACTAACTAAGGGTGCTTACATTTTTTTTGACTAACTGTGGCTTTATTCCAAATAAGTTATGTACTTTTGTGGTCCAATCCTGGGGGTCATGATTTTAACAAATCTTTATCTAAACTACCCTAGGATGCTAACATTTGAACAAGACCAATCAAGATTTTTATATATTTTCCCTATATATTCCTATGTAAAACTTTGATCATCCATTGTGGCTGTACCCCCGGGGGTCATGCTTTGAACAAACTTGAATCTACACTACCTGAGGATGCTTCCATATAAACATAACCAATCATGGCTTTGCTGTTATTAAAAAGAAGATTTTTCCTATACATGTATATTCTTAAGTAAAACGTTGGTCGCCCATTGTGACCCCACCCTACCACCGGGGGACTTGAATGTACACTACCTGAGGATGCTTCTACATAAGTTTCATCTTTCCTGGCCCAAAGTTTTTACATTAATACCATTAATTTATATTGATATGGTGGCAAGAAGTATAAAATTCAAGTCCATCCCCCTCCCTTCCCCAAGTAAACTTTTGAGTGTTGAGCTGATTTGTTTTTACCTAGCCCATGTGCTCAGGTGAGCGATGTTGGAGGTTGCTCCCACTACTTTGATACGTGTTGCTATGGGCCTGTTCTCTGGGTAATAGCGTTTGAAGTTCCATAGCTACAGATTCCTTGTGAACTGAATAAGCGTCAGCTTCCCAACAAGTTAAAGATACAAGCTTATAAATATCTTATCGTTTGAAAAATGGAAATTATCTCAAATGAACACAATATATGCTAGATACACATTACCAGGGTTTAGGTTTTGTCAAAGGTCAACATGTCCAAAAATGTATTTTTACAATAGCACCAAAACTATGTGGGGTATAAAGTTAAAACTTTTGCAGTTTATAAATTTTTCATTGATTAACAGACAGAAAGTATCACTTGATTAAAAAAAAAAATACCTGGAAAAATATTAATTGAGAAAAATTCTTCATAAAAATGCATATATTTTCAAAAAGTACACCTAATTAATTCTGTGCTCTTCTTTTAATTCTGACGATCTTCTATTTTTTGGTTTGTTTGCCAAGGAATTTTCGGTTGTTGATAGTGACCAAACTGAAAATATATGGTTGTAACCCCCACCCCACCCCAAACCCCCCCCCCCCTTCCGATATTGCTTACTAAGGGTCTGTATTTACCAGAAGTGGTTTCTGTATGCCTTTCAATTTCCATCCTTGCATATCTGAGTTCAAACTTAAAACTACACTTTAAAAGGGAGATGTGCCTCTGAGAATTTCAGGTCACCTGAGTCTTTCAGATGACCTATTGCTATCTCTGTTCGTTCATCGTCGTACGTCATTCGGCGGTCGTAAACATTTGAACATTTTTAGCTTCTTCTCTGGAACCACTGAACCAATTTCAACCAAATTTGAAAAACCCATCTCTGGGTAAAAGAGGAACACAAAATTGTGAATTTCAGGGTCCCTGGGGCCTGAGGGTGGGACCAAAACCACTTAGATTAATGCAGTCTTTAAAAATCTTCTTTACTTCTAGACATCAAGCAGTGAAACTGTTTGAATGATTGTTTTAAGCATTGAGTCCTCTACACTGTACCAAAATAGTAAAATTCTTTGCCCCAGGGTCAGGGGTTCTATATGCTAGGGCTGGGCTAAATAGATTATATAGTGAAAATACATTATTTCTTTGAAAATCTTCTTCTCTGCTCCTGGGTAAAATTAATTAAGTACATAGTTACGATGAGAAAGAATTCCTGTTCTACAGTAGTGAATTTCTGGTGTTAGGACGGGGCTTGAATGATTATATAGTTAACATGCATTAATTCTTTGAAAAATACATAGTTATGATGAGAAAGGGTGCCTCATCTAAAATAGTGAACTTCATGGCCCAGGGTCAGGAGTTCTGGTGTTAAGATGCAGGGCTCTTTTGATTATATAGTAAACATGCATTTTTAAAATGAAAAATCTTCTTCTCTGTCCCTGGGTATTAAACAACTAACTACATGCGTAGTTACAATGAGGAAGAGTACCTCTTTGAAAATTGTCAATTTCATGGCCAAAGGATCAGGTTGTGAATTTCATGGCGCAAGGTCCAGGATTTCTGGTGTTACTTAGGGTGTGGCTCTAATCATCAAATGGTGAAATTGCAATGAATCTTTCATTATTAATCTTCTTCTTTGCTCCCAGGTATTTAACAAACTGACTACAGACATATAGTTATGATAATTATAGCTATGATCGTTCTTCCAGAATTGTGAATTCCAAGCCCCCCCCCCCCCCCCCGGAAGAGGGGTATCATAGAGGGCTGGGGTTTGGGGGAGTGTCCTTGACTATATACTAAGAATGAATTATTTCTTTAAAATCCACTCCATGAAGTTAATCAAACATTTATGATGAGCAAGAATTGTGAAATGTGTGGACCTGAGGGTCAGGGGTTCTTGTTGGGTGGGGAACTATTGAGTAATGCTGAATATTACTTAGAGTGGTTGAAATGCATATTTTTTATTCCCCTACTCTGTCTATGGTTATAAAGTTACCAAACTACATAGGCGTCGGAACCGGGAGGGGGGGGGGGGGCAGGGGATTAGCCTTTTCCTAGTGTAGTCATTGAACATTGCTGCGTAGGTTTAGCCCCCCCACTTTCCACAGACACGTTGCAGAATAGGTTTAAAATTAGGAATTCAAAGTGGTGCTGTTTGGAAAAAAATTGGTACTGAATATCGAACCTACCCCCCCCCCCCCATGTCATGGCCTTTGCTTAAAAACATAACCCAAAGTCAATTGAAAAACTCATTATTTTGGATTTCAATGATTTATTCATGATTTATCCTGTAATATTTTTCATGGGTTAAGTCTTAAATCCTAGCTCCTTTCAATGCAGAAAAGTACTGCTTGGAAAATGTCAGAGATGAAAACTTTAAAATATCTGAAATGAAAACAGTTCCGGAAATAAAATGCAGCCATTGAAACCATGCACCGCGAGTGTCTTGAATCTAATACACAATATCGTACAAGTTACATTAAAACATTATCTATGGAAAACATCCTTAATTTGGTATCATATGATTTTTGCCCGTTCACACATACAAGGAATTTTGCCCCGTTTTAAATTAGCCCAGTCACAGTTCTGTTTAAATAAGAATTTATACTGTGTTTTTTAAACTCACCCCATTTTAAATTCACTCACATGTAGTTGTTACCATGACAACAATTGATGGAACATTTCATATATTTTTTCAGCACTCTCCACAAATACAATCATCAACACATTAATTTCATATTCATTTCCATGACCAACACTGACCCAAAAGTCAAATCTCTTTACAGGAGACATAGGGTACATTGGTTGCCATGCACTGGGAATCGTTGCCATGTGTTGATTAAAGACGGAAAAAAATTAAGATTGAACAAAAGTCAGTTTTGCTCAATCACATTTTTCTGACTTAATTTGAATAAGCCTTAATAAGATTACACGAATACACGCCAAAATTACCTTTCTTTGCCTTGTTGCTATGGAGAACCTGTCGTTGCTATGGAGATAAAGAATTCTGCAATATTCAATGATGTGCTAGGGAGACCGAATTTAATTATACCATTTTAAAATTTGTATCTCGTTTATCATAAATAACCGCTCATTTGATTTTTTCCGTAAACTTTTTACATTGTTTCTCATTTTATGCATCAAAAAGCCCATTTTTGTTGCTATCAACAGATTCGATTTTCAAAAGAGCCCATGGATTTGATTTCAAATTCTAAAAGAGAAATACCTCTGCTTTAATGTGAGATGCATGCAACAACTGTATTAATCTGGCCATTTTAAAAATTTGGCCTTGAATATTGCCAAAATCACGAAAAATGCTGAATCAGCAAAACTTGTAAAACATGTGTACCTTCCTATGTCTACCACAGAACTGACTTAGGACCTAAATATTTTTTATTACATTATTAGAACACAATAAATGTGTATCTTTATTACACCCATAAGTAAGAATAATTCTCGTGGTATTTGCGTGTTATTTGAAGCCTCAAAGATAGGTGATTTTTTGTCCTTCAACACTGAAAAATCCGCCGGTTGCTAAGGAAATTTCTTTGGCTGGGTTTCCATGGTTACCATGACTCAAAACATTTTTCATTTTACATACATTGTTCATACTTCAAAATAAATCTATGAGTGGAAAATCATCAAATTCTGAAAACCTTCATGTATCACTTTTTTACAGTTTTGTCTGATTTTTATGTGGACTGGTACTTAAAAAGGAGGCACGTATTCTCTATCCACCTTGAATAAACGTCTCTCCCGAGACAGAAGATTTGTGTTTAATGGTCCCTATGCTTTTTTTTTTTGGAAAGAATATTCTTATCCACCCATTCTGTTGCCGAGATTTGACCATTTCTGACAAATGTACTGTTCTTGTTATAAAAATTCACTTAAATGGAAAAAAATATAAAACCCCAAAAAATCTTTCAGCTTTTGTGACAGAACGCTACGGAGGGGGTCACATGACCGCCAATATCACGTGATTCGCGCATGCGCAGAACGGTGGCTGATGTTCATTAAAATTGGAGAGGACTAATTCAAAATATAATCAACACTGAAATCAAATATTGTTTCTTTTATGGAAGTTTTTCAATTAGTTCGCGAACTTTTTGATCACCCCTCGTAATTATTTTTATAGTCATTATATGTGCCAGGAATGTCGCGCTTGGAGAAAATCTGAGTCAAAACCAGATTATATAAAGGATGATGAGGTCTAAAATCACGTTTTAATTGATTTCTGTTAATAATTGATATAATGACGCCAAGTGTGTTAATTTAAATGAGAAATTATGTCGATATGGAGTTGTCTACATAAAGTGTTGAGGATTTTAATAGATCATATCTGAGAGAAGATTGGTGTTCATTGTAAGTATTACGATAATAATTTTTTGAATTGTGGTTTTCACTAGAAGTATTAAGTTAATAATTTTATGAATTTTATTTTTTGTATTCCAGAGAGAAAAAAAATGGAAAATGCACCTATTGATTTGGGTGGAATTTTGCGAAGCTCAACAATGAGTACCAGAAATGTCAGTTACTCTTCTTCCCAATCCGCAGATGTCCAAGACCAGTTTGTGGACGACCGGTATAAAGCTGGAATGGAAGTTCTTTGTGCACTTCTAACAATCATTGGTGTCTGTGGTAACATTGTGACATTTTTCACCATTATTTGGAGCAAAAAGATGCATACCGTTACCTATACCGTAGTAGCCTCCCTGGCACCACCTGACATCATCAGCCTCGTTTTCGGTTACTGTTTTGTTTATCGGCTGCAGGATGAATTCTTCCTACGATCCTACACCCTAAGAGCAGTTGTCAGGGGGATAGGAATGGCAGGCGAACATGCAAGTGCAGCACATATGGTTTTCTTGGCAGGAGTGCGATGTCTGATGATTGCCAAACCGTTATGGTGTCACGCCAATTTGAGACCAAAGAACATAATGATGGCATCATGTGCAATATGGCTCTTTAGTGTTTGTTTTGCTTCAGGTGTTATGACTTTTGTGTATCTATCTGAAAGCGGTCATTTTGACCAGAAAACAATACTATTTACATTTTTTACCCTTTCAATTTATCTTTTTTGCATTCCACCAATTTTCATACTCATCTTCCATTGCCTAAAAATCCGTATTGTCAAGAGATCGAAAGCTATGAGAAGATCTCAACTAAGCTCTCAAATGTCAATGGTGTTCTTGTTGATCCTAATTGCTTACATTGTAACATGTGCAGCTGATTTAGTGTACCAACTCGCAGCTTTAGGAAACAACATTCTTGAAAAGTCGTTTCAAGTAACCAAAGTAATGTTTTACGTGCAATATGGAATATATGTTTTGTGGATGATTCACTACTCTTTAAACCCATTCATTTATTTCTTTGTCTCCCCACAAGTTAAAGTCTTCATTCAAGAACTTTGTAATGATAATAAAAATTATTGGTCCTCAGTTAAAATTAGAAAAAGCAATATTTATACGGTCAAAGAATCGAACTTTTCTACATCTTCAACAAATTCAGCAATATTCTCTAACAGTTGTATAGGTGTATTTCATAAAAAAGAATATTTTTCAATGTAGTTTTGCCATGTTTATTCATCTGTATTTTCGAAAAAGATGTCAATGTACACAACCTTAAAATAAAATGTTCGTACTCTTTATATCCATTTATTAGTTTTGATGGATTTATAACAACTCACACGTTCACTTACACATTAAAACTAAATGTTTTGTTTATATTAAAAGTCGTATACTTTGTTTGTATCTGAATTTTGAAGAGCAAAATACCCTCCCTTCTTAAAAGCTACTTTATATGAATGTGCACTGAAGGCACTCTGAAGATCTCCTTAGATTATAAAATAACAATATCATAATAAAATAAAAATCATTGTCGTAAATATACTGCGTAAAAGTACTCTTCTTAAATTTATGGATTTTTTTTTAATTTAATTAAATTCTTCTCAAAGTAAATTTATTGAGGAAACGAAAAAGATTTTGGAATTTTCAAATCCATCCTGGAAATTAGCTCTTATTCTTGTTCCCTTAACCCCTGTGGCATTTTTTGCAGTAGCCCATTTATATTTTGTAACGTTATTCCTTGTAAAATAAGGTTTCTGCAGAATTTTCATTTCAATCCTAGGTGTCTCATTGGAGTAAAAAAGTTTTCTTCTTCTAGAAAAAATGGTTCATAAACTTTTACCCCTTAAGCACTAGATCTTGTATGTTTTGAATATGATTTGGAGAGCCTCAAGGTTTTTTTAGTGTGAGTCCAAATGGGATACATTTTTTGCACAAAAACCTGGTTCCCCGAACATCTTTGACAGTCGCCCATCCATATTTTGAATAATAAGTGTTGGAGTATCCTGTTGATATGCACAGGTTTCAGAATTAATGAGAAATAAATTTATGCCTTCTTTTTTTCGGAAAGCACGACATATAAGGTAAGCATAAATGTTTTTGTTTTAAGTCTAATCCTGTGTCCAAACAGAAATCCTGAAATTCCATTGATATAAGAATTATATGCCTATACCTGCTTTCTTGGGGTGCCAAGGAATGGATAAATATGATCAGATATCAACTTTATGATTTTAATATTTAATGATTTGTTATTTATATTACAGAAATTTTATCATCGAAACATTTTAATTGTTAGGAATGAGCAAAGAACGCTTTTACATTGATTAAAGTGAAATGGTCCATTATTTGGAATGTTTCGTGATACATGTAGACGATATTGTTTAGTCTTTGCAAAATTACCTTTTCATCTGAACCAAAATTATGAAACTTGTGATAATTACAGAACAAAATATATTGCACACAAATGCATCTAAGTTAAGTTAAGGCCCAAGATGATTGTGATAATTAGAAATTCTCGAGGTAAAAGAGAAAATAAATATAATCCCGTTTGATGACGTCAATATTTCTTGTTATGGGTAAATATTGTTAAACCATGTCAGTACTCGGGAATTAATTCTGGTATCAGGAGAATTGAGAGGACGTTAATTTCATGAGACATAAAAGCTTAATATTGACTGCTCAACAAGTTTCACCTTCACATTGGAAGTGTGTCATGCATGAGCAATTAGAGTCTTTGAATAATATATTTACGTGTACATGAAAATCTCTAGATCCATTCACAAAAATGCTGTTTGTCGTTGTAAAACGATAATATATTTCCTACGTGCATATACATGTATTTCTTTTAGTTTTATGCAAACATTTGTCAGCAGAAACTTTAATAGAAACACATAATTCGTTAGGCATCACGATTATTACGTGAAAAAAAAGTATGTCACAAATGCAATTATTGTGTATCATCGTAAAAAAAACCCAATAGTATTAAATCAGTATTTTGAGAATAAAGGGATTATTTTACATATTACAAATATGGCGACTTCTTGAATATTGTACTGGAATAGTACAAAAAGACTAAATTTACTTAGAATGCTTAAATATAAAGTTAAAAGGAAAATACTTGTTAAGATATATTTTGCATTTACTAGTATCAGACCTGTTTTAGAATACTCTGACTTTGTCTACGACAATTGCTCTGAAAAAATATTGAACTTTTAGAAGTATTCAAGAGGAAGCAGGTAGAGTCATTAGTGGTTTAAGATCCAATTTTCTCGCGATCAAATTGTATGATGAATTAGGGTGGGATCTTTTACAAACAAGGGGGAATATTCATAAATTGCTATTATTTTATAAAATCATAAATGGCTATTCACCTCAATAATTATATAACTTGATTGAACCTTTCCGTCCTACAAACCACCCGTATAATCTTAGAACTAATGATGCAGAATTCAAAATTTTTTGTATTAAAACTACATCATATATGGAAAGTTTCCTTCCGTCAACAGTTAAACTGTGGAATAACTTGCCTGATTATATCAGAATGCTCCTGGAATATCTTCATTCAAAGATCTTTTTAATTCTTATTTTTGTATTTAAAAAAAAGGTAAAGAAATTTTTCATTTTGGAATGAGGAAGTACAATATAATACATTGTCAGTTACGAAATAATGCAAGTAATTTAACGGCAGACTTAAATAACCAATTTTTATCAGAAACACCTATGTGTGAATACTGCATAGACTCTGTTGAAGATGCTCATCATCATTTTTTGCTTGTCCAAAATATTGTACCTCTCCAAGAAATGTACTTTTACAAACAATCCAAAATATGATATTGTAATCAAATTCATGAACTTCATTTATTTTTGTATGGTAGTCCTAATCATGGACAAGGTATTAATACTTAAATACTGAGTATTTGAAGCAGTACATGCTTACATCGCAGCAACCAAACGTTTTATTTGACACTGTCATGTATGTTACATCTGCCAGCAATTTCTAACCGGTACTACATTGTGATTCTTTTTTTTCCTACTCTTTTTTTTCTTGTTTCTTTTTTAACTGTTTGTCTATTTAGTTTCATGCCTATATCAAGTTTGTGTGTTCACATTGACCTTGTAGGGAGAGGGCTAAAATAGGCTTTGTCTGCTGCCCAATCCCATTCACTTTGTGAATAAAATTTTGTACCTGTATAAATAAAAAAAAATATTGTACTGGAATTAATACTGAATAATTAAGACTTTTTTTAAACTATTGTTTGTTTTAATGGCATGTGTATTTTCATAGGAACATACCATACAATATAAATTGAAATCAGAGTAAGCCAAATGATTGAATTGAACAGCCTCTGATTAATTTGTGCTAAAGCAAATTACGAAATGCTATTAGTGTTTTAATTGCTCGCGGGATAGTTCAGTTGGGTAATACAATTTGGTCTGAAAAGTATCACATTAGTTTTGAAGCTAGGTCATGGGGTTATCTGAGGTAAGATAAAAAGAAAAATGATTTCTCTGTAAATGTAATTTTGTGTGCTTTTATATGATGCTAATGTCTACTTTTTAAAAGACCATTTCTAATGTATGTACTTCAAGGAGCCTTGGTTCGTAATAAGCGTGTGAAATAGAAATATTTACAGGAAAATAAATCTTTTTAAAGCTAAATTTTTGGGACAAACAAATAAACAACGTTTGAGAAGCGGATATACTTAATTACATTCTAATGAGTAGTAACTTTTTTTTGTTTGATGTTCCTAGAATTTGATTGCTAGTCACAACCGAGAAACATTGAATATACAATGTATTTGCAACTGTAAAAAGGTATTTACTAGTGTTAACATTTTAAATTAGGCTTGAATTGAAATGAAGTTTGTTCAAAGTCATAAAAGCAAACTATAATTGGTTTGTATTTTAGATATGTCACTGAAGCAATAAAAACAGTCGGGCATGTTGTATATGGTAGGAACATTCAACTTCACGGATAAAATTATTTGTATAATAAAAGTAAGTACATGTATTTACATTTATATCGTAATATATTGGTACTAGTATATATTCATGTAACAACAAATCAACTCACTTTTTCGTGTTTATCTTCTGCCAAACAAGAGTAATCACGTGATCTTGATTAAATCCTAAATTGATGCTGGAGACTAAATTGTATACTTTTTGTATTCAGTATGCCAGTAGAAAACGACTGGTATTTTATAATTTTCTGTAACCAATGCTCTGAAATGGCTACCAATATACACGATATCTCTCATACTTACTCTTATTAATTTTTTGTTCTTTTCGAAGTTCATCATCAAATTCTCATTTAAAAAATCTCCAGAAATGAAATAATTTAATGATTTGTATCTTTAATTTTCTATCTTGGAAAATAACAATGGCTTACAGACTACTCAATAATATGATTATCTACACAAATCATTTGTAAACATATTGAAGCAAAAGTCAACATCATTAAATATAATTGCAAAAAAACGTTTTCTTTCAATCAATTTAAGTTATGGACACATCCGAGTCCAGACTCTGTGTTCTTAGATGGTTACATATACAGCAGAACTCATGTTCGATCAATTCTAACAGTTCAAAAGTCATCAGCATAACCAATCATACCTATCTCTTTTTCTTCTCTGAAGAACGTTCTTTTGGATATGTATACAAATGGAGACATTTATCTAAAACTAATTCTTGGATTGTTTTTGGTGAGATTAAATGGTGTATATTTATTTTGGTTTGCAAAGCCAGATTCCCTATACGTGACTCTTATATTAATTATTAATGACAAGTGATAGGAAGGTGAAGTTTGAGTTATAGCAACAAAATAAATTTGTTTATGGATATTTGATCTGGCGGTCCTCTGTTTAACACAAATGAAAAGGGAAGGTTGGACTCATTTAAAGCATGAGTATTGTAAGTATTGCAAAAGGAATGTTTTAAAAAATTTCATCGGTAAAAAATATATTTAGTTTGAGATTTCTTATTTGCGCAAAAAAAAATCTTTTCAGAATTTGATGCAGTGAACATCTGCCTATCTTTCGGTCTATTATGTTGTAGTGCATTCTACTTTTTACAATCACGTTTCATCTACTTTCCAAAGGATATGTGAACAACCTCGAAAAAGCTAAATCAAACTTTGTTACTCGGTAAAAGGGATTAGACTCTGTTAGAATTTTAAAAGGGCTTCACTACTACAACGAGATTACTAAGATAATCAGTATATATCTACAATTGCTTTGTTTGTATTATTTATACAAAACAACCTAAAAAGACCAAAAGTTGGAAGTATCCTCTTCATATATGAATATATTTTTGCGTTGAAAGACGAAGGCAAAAATCTTAAAAACGTGACGATGTGGTTATGCATTTAAAAAAAAACTATGATTTAGTATTTATTTTCCGGTTGATTAAAATCTAAATGTTACCTTCTTTGTTTTATTGTTTTCGGGCTCGGTGAATATTGTACTCCTCACATGGCTAAATCATTGTATTGACCTCAAAAAACAGCAATAATTGTATAATATCTCATTTCAGATATCAAAATGAACGGTACTCTTTCTACGCTGAACAAAAGTGCTTCATGGTCAACAACAGTATTACAGGAACACGGCTCATCGAACTTGACAAATGGAATAACTGCGACAATAGTTTTGCTTGTGATTCTAATGGTAGTCGGAATTCTGGGAAACATTCACGTTTTGGTTGTTTTTGGTCTTCATTTCCAGAAGAGTTCCACCTATGTGACGTTTGTGTTTGCTTTGGCAGTTATAAACTTCCTAATGTGCAGTATAGAAATTCCTTTTGAAATTTTGGATCTACTTTATCCATATGGCCTATTCAATGCATGGCTTTGTAAATTCTTCAGATCATCTAATGCTACGTTATCGATGAGTTCCGTCTTTATTTTGCTTTTAATTTCAATTGATAGATATAAACGAGTTTGTAGCCCATTGAAAATTCAGTGGTCCATAAAGAAATCAAGAATACTTATTGCGATAACAGTCTTTGGAGCGTTTGTTTTATCGGTTCCAGTTGTTTTTATTTTCGGTCTTCATACGACAGAGATTTCCTCAGGAGAGCTTGTACAGAAATGCTTTTTTGATGATAAAGTGAAAGGGAGTATGTATCCCTTGCTGTACTTAGTCTTTCTACAGATTGCAACCGTGGTTTCGATTGGTATTCTTGCATTCACTTATATTTCTATTGGACTAACTATCAGAAAACATGCCAGAAAGCGGGCGAAAATGACGTATTACGCGAAGGATCCAAAGGAGAAGAGACTGAATATTGGAAATTCAAAATGCTGTGGAAATCATTCAGCAAACCTCAAAACGGATATTGTTAATTCTGGTCAAGTTTTTGTTATCGGTTTAAACTATAGAAACCAAAAGTTGACCAATGACTGGGTACAAAAGGTCAGTACTTCGAATACTTCTGTGTCCGACATAATTATTTCTGTGAAAAATAAAATAAAGACTAAAAGCGCCGAGAAGGGTAAACAGCAGGGCGAGAATGACATATTCAAACGTGCCGTTTCTACTGAACATGATCAGGCAAAGAAAAATTCCAAGGTGTTTTTCTTGGTCACCTTGGTGTTTATTGTTATGTATACGCCTTATATGATTCTTGGAGTATTTCTGGCCGTGGAAGAGGACTTTCGTGAAAATATGAATGATGTAGAAATTACATTTTATCGTTTAGCCATGAGATTTGTATACATTAATGATGTTGTGAATTGTTTCATTTATGGTATTCTCGACCACCGATTTAAAACTTGTGTTTTCCGATTTTATAAACGAATTTTTACACTATGTAAAAGTTAAGATCATTGTGGAAATGTAAAAGAAAACTGCATCTTTGTATTGTCTTTATAATTTTATTTTTATGAAGAAAGGGGACAAGATTGCTAAAATAATCCTACCAGGGACTATGAGATGAAATGACATATTCACTGTTACTTAATGTTCTGTATGGCAAGATATGCTCAATGTTTTGAAAACCTAAAATTTCAAATTATAACATTTGAACCAAAAGAGACTTGCAGAAATGCTTCGGGTATCATGTGTTTACTGCTCAGAAATCTGTATGGAATTATCAACGAATAGGTCTGAATTATTCATTACTTTTGACATGAAGTCATCAATTTGAAAGGAATTAATTCTGCTCCGATTAAGAAAATCGGGAAAGTGTTGATTAAATCAAGTGATTCACAAAATTTAAATTTCTTTGTTGCTGCAATATTTGAGATGGCTACTTGTTTATGGCAAACGCTATAAATGCAATTTAAGGGTCCATGAAGAGGTCATTTAGTTGGATTTTGTTATTTTTTAAGTAAAACTTTCTTTACATAGAAGTGGGCAACAAAAGGGTCTTCGACTCATTTTTTTTCTTTTTATATGAATGCTGTTTCGTTAGATAGCATGTCTTACAAGGCAAACATCATTGAACCCGATTGTTTAATGAAACAGACCTTTCATTGCACTAATAATCAATTTTCCTTATATACAATTAAAATTGATGGTACATGTATCCATATGTTAGCTATAACTCATAATTATACATCTATTTTTAGAATATTTGAATATAAAATCGTTGTTGTTTTTTAATACTTAATTTATTTACTTATATAAGCTGCACGTCTTTTTTGTGTAAAAGGGAATCGGGGAGAATTTAAAAAGGGGCGGTCAACAACATGCCCTTTCGATGGAATAAATCACGAACCCTGGGAATCAAGCGGTCAAGTGCTTAAGAGGAGTAAACATCTTCTGTCAACCATTCACACATGCTGTGAGCTTTACGAGGCTCGTTCGATAAATAATGCAACATGTGCGCTAATTTTTTTTTATATCTCTCACGGTATTCCCTTGCATCATGGTCAGAACACCTCAGCACATTAATTCTTTTTAGGGATGCTCAAAAGACGCTGATGAAAAGCGCTTTATTAACATGACAGACCTAAAACTGTAAATTATTTCTTTGATTGTTTTCTTGGGATTTTGGAATAAAATGATCTCACAGTGACTAGGATCTAGCGATCGAATTTGGAGATTAATCTTTATAAACTTTCCTGTATTCATATTTCCCTTTACACTCTATGCTAATCTACAGCGGTGCCGTCAGACAAAAGAAAACGAACTTGGGGACTGGTATTTAGAATTACCAAAAAATTGCTGAACTGTCCTCGTTGCAATCTTAATTAAACATAAAATCTACTATTGATGGTACTTCCTTGAGGTGTTGCAATGATAAGAAGACGTCTTCTCTATAATTACAATTTTTAATTATTTTTTTTTTTCTATCTCTTTATACAACCAATTTCCAACGTTTATTGAACCTTCTCTTATGTAAGAGTAATACTCAAGTATTTTGAGATTTATATTTCATTTGGCAGAACACTTAAAACTGCTATGCTGTAAATTAATAAATAAGCCGTACCAACGTCGTTCATGGTAAATCTGACATTAACATGTATCATGGTGCTCACAACATCGACATTTTATGGAATCCTTACAGTTTCGGTCGATTGAAATGTTGATTTTAAATTTGTTAAACCCCCTGTTATATCATTTATCTGTCGTTCAGTAGCCTGTCCAAGCTTAGACATTGAACGCGTACAAATTAATAGCATGAAATTTAGTATTGAATAAGTTAGGAGACGTATAAACCTGTGATATTACTATGTACGTAAATAAGATTTGATGACAACTGAAAAATCTTAGGTCATTTCGTTTGCCATGCAGTTTACTCAGTACTTGGCACTTTGTCTTTTTTGTCTATTGGCAGTAATATCTTCAAATAGGAAACATATTGGTATTTAGACTCTGCGTTGTCCTTTCTTTCAATATTTAGTTCCTTGACTGGAAATAGGTGAATATTGTAAATATACAAAATGTCGTACTCCTCGGGACTCTAAACCTAGGTTTGTTTGTATGTTGTTTAACGTCCCAATCGAGAATTTTTTACTCATATGGAGACGCCACCACTTGCTAGTGGAGAGATGCAAATTTTGTCCTATACTCGGCATTTACGGCTATTGAGCAGTAAGAGATCGTTTTCATGCCAACACCTACTGCGACACTAGACCTCGGTTTATAAGGTCTCATCCGAAGGACCGGTCTCCACGTCTCGCAGTGGTATTCGAACCCGCGGCGACACTAAGGATCAATTCTTTGCTTAGCGACTCTAGAGCAGACGCGGGCGACCTAAACCAAGGTAAATGACCTGTAAATTGCAAAAAAATAGAGCCGCTCCTACAGACCTTTATACATGTACATGTATATAGGCACTTGGTATTAGTGCAGGTACATGTAGAATCGATTTTGAAAGTAGAGGAGAGGGGCCAGTTAACGAAAAAAAATCAACTTACTTTAAGAAAAAAACGACTTTTATATCAAATATATTTTTCCTTAACATTTATATAATTTAAAAAATCTCAAATCGTAGTGGCCCAGCTAAAGCACCTTTTAAATTTTATATATTTCGTTTATATGCATTATTGTTGTGATATGTGAAATGAACGTGTAATTTCTCGTTTTATTATTGAACTTATACGTGATTTTCTAAAAGTAATCCACAAAGAACGAGGGCGCTTTTGATTGGCATTCGGCAGGAATCTGGGCGTAATTGAAAAGTGAAAATTTTATCGACGTCACATGAAATTTTAACATTTTTTTATTTAACGGGTTCCTGTGCAACAGGAAAGGAAATATTTTCCCGAAATTGAGCTTTGATTTGCTAAAAAATAACTTGTAAATTGGCCAGACCAGACATTTGGTACAAAATGGTACATTTTTAAACACGTTTTTCTAAACTTTTTCTATTTCTGGGTTTTCTCTCCATGATTTTGAAACGTTATTTGTGTGTATCTTAATTAAAAGAAACAAATACACTTTTTTAAAAAATGGAGAGAAGACCCAGAGACCACGAAAAATGAACTTTTCCCAAAAAACCCAAATGTGTAAATGTGGTGCTTCTTTGTCCTTTTAAAATCATCTTTATATGTGTAGCGGTGTTACCTAAGAAATGTCTAATGCACTCGAAGCGAAAAGTTTTTGGTTCGAGCCTGGAATGGGGCGTTAATTTTTTTTTTCATGCAAACAACCATTTATTTTGTCATTTTCGTTTTATGTACTGATTTATTAAAACTTTGAATTAGATAAATTTTGGTTCAGTTTGGTTCTCGAGCGAAATCAAGTCTAATCTTCTATTCTATAATGTACATGTACTCGTATCATACATCTATGCATTAAATATTTTAGGTGTTTATTTTTTGTGTAACACTACTATGTTATAGAACCCCCCCAGGAAAAACGGACATAAATGTTACAATTTCACAAGGTCTTTCAAACTAAATGAAAAAAAAAAACTATGGACGTGTTTGTAAAATCTGACCAGCTAGGGTCAAACAACCAAATCATGGACATTTAAACCATAAATGTTTCGTACAAATGATTCCTGCAGATCACTCGCCAAATGCGCCCATCTTCTTTCGGCCAATTTTTTTTTCCATACCTTTATCATCGTGTGAAATCGATTGATTTACTCTTCATTCATTTGACTTTAAATGTTATATTTTATTTGAATTTTAATAGTATTAATTTATTTACTAAAATTTAAAAATCCTTTTCATGTTAATTGCTTAATCCCCACCAATCTTTTTTTTCTGAGTAACACTTGTCGGACAACTAAAGCAATTTTAAATGCCCAAAGACCTTTATTCAATTCCTAAATTAAATGAAAACACAACGTAACTATTTAATTATCGGATATTTTTTATGTTCACGTCATCAAAGCATTTCATTAATCTGTACCTGTATAGCACTTTTTTTTTTAGTTTTACTCATTCAAATTGTCAACACCTGTCATATTTTTATCATAATGTCGGCAAACATTTTGCTGGGTACATATACTTCTTCTAACGGCCTTGTTTTTGTGCAATGGCCATATCCGTTACTGTTAATTGCCACTCCATGTAAATAATACTTTCCATCGTTGGGATAAATTTGTTAATAAATTCTGAAACCAAATTTCTCGTTACCTTGAAGGTGTTTTTAGAAGAGTCCTAAAGACTACGGCCTGACTGCGTCATGCAGCCATTTCTTTGTCCACATTCCTTTTTACCCGTTCAACGTCATATTATATTGGACCCCAAGCTACACGGTCTCTCGAACAATTGTCGAAGTGTAAAACATAATCTCTTGCCCTGGGGACGCGATCGGTTTAGAACAGCCATCTTTTTTTTAATGTCGAAATGGAATGGAGATTTTAGAGGTTCTTTCTTCCATGTGAGGTACGTTCGTAGTAAACTTTGAATTTTTATATCATTTCATCGTGTAGTCGACTAAATAACTTTGGTTGAGAGAGAGAGAGAGAGAGAGAGAGAGAGAGAGAGAGAGAATTATTTGAATTTATCTTCTTTTAATTTAAGCAATGGTTTGCGCCTCATGAAAATTTTTTAATTACTAATAACCAGATCATGCGCGTACTCGGATATGTCTTTTAAAAATGTCAGCAAAAACCAGAGTGGGTGTTGAATTGCTCTATTATTACAGACATGAATAAAAATATATAATGTATATATATGTAATACATCTTTCATCTCATGCATGACGTAAAATGTTCTTTTTATATAGTATAAACGTTAAAGAGCTATTTCTGACTACTTTGAAGAAACAACGTATATTATCAGAAATGGCCTCCTTGTTACGACCGAACATTGTTTAATTACTTTAATTATCATCCTTCACACGGGAATATTAAGGTTGGATTTTTTTTTTACTGAGAATGATGTAAATCTGCTTAAAATTACGTAGAAAAGATTTCGACACATTGACACTATTTGCTCATTTTAAATGTACACGTATATAATATCTTTATTCAGTTATTGTTTAAGAGATGTTGCAGACTGCTAAGTGTAAGCTGATTAATTTACAAAATAACAGTAATTTGCGAGGAATACTACAAAAGAAAGTGAACAATTAAAAAATATACGTGCTTTTGACGTTTTATAGGACAACTAGATTTTGCTGACTTTTGGTAACATGCCGGAAGTTAAAATTGTTTATTGATTAAAACTGAAACAAATAAAACACGATTGGAAAGTTAAATAATGATCATTAATGTGGAGAAAAAAAGGAGATTTATTTCAAAATATTTGAAGCAATTTTTGTCACCTTGTCAAATGCTTGTGAATAGCTATTGACGATAGTTATGAAAAGCAATTGAAGGACGACAGCCAATTGCCGTACATGTGTACCAGGTTTTATTGCATAAAGAATCAAAGACCGACTAATTTAGAACCTTTTTATTATTATGAGTTTCTTTTTCAGAAGGATGTAAATTGGTTTGTGTACTTTCGAACAGGACAAAAAGTGTGATTGACTGTTATTTTTGAAATATTCAGGTGTAAACACGTTTTACATTTCAGGAGTGAAGATGGCTACAACTTCTTCTTTCATAGACTCAAGTGTTGCAGTTTTGACAACCTTGTTATCAAATGGGACAGATGTGACAGCATATAACCGATTGGTGAATGGATCCACCACAACATTTAACCCTCTAGAGAATGGATCCGCCACCACCAAATATGACCAATTAGATAATGGGATCGAGGCTACTGTCGCAATGCTTGTGGTTTTAATGGTTATTGGAGTCATTGGAAATATACACGTTTTGGCTGTTTTTGGTCTACATTTCCAGAAGAGTTCTACCTATATGACGTTTGTGTTTTCCTTGGCAGTTATAAACTTCCTAATGTGCAGTATAGAAATTCCTTTTGAAATTTTGGATTTACTTTATCCGTATGGTCTTTTCAGTGGATCGTTTTGTAAAGTATTCAGATCTTCAAACGCTGCTCTGTCGATGAGTTCTGTTTTCCTGCTCCTCCTTATTGCAATAGACAGATACAAACGAGTTTGTCACCCATTGAAAATCCAATGGTCTCTTAAAAAGTCAAGAATACTCATTGTGACCGTCATTAGTGTCGCGACATTTTTAGCCATTCCAGTTGTTTTCATTTTTGGACCCCACACAACAGAAATAGCCGCCGGTGTGCATGTTCAGAAGTGTTTCTTTGACGACAACGTGAAGGGAAGTCTGTACCCTTTGATGTATTTGATAGTTTTACAACTAGTGTTCGTAGTGTCGGAATTGGTGTTAGTGTTTTCTTATCTTTCCATTGGATTAACAATTGGAAAGCATGTCAAGAAGCGGGCCAAAATGACACAGTATCAAATGAAACGATCCAAAAGTAAAAGAGTTAGTACCGAGAATTTGAATAGCCTGAACAGTCCTTCAAACAATAGTGATACTGACAATGTGAATTCTTTGTCTATAAGCGTAATCGATATCAAAGAAAAAATGGAAATATCGGGTGATCCAAAAGTACATGACGATCATATCTCAAAATATGATACACCAGAGAATAAAGCAACTCAGACCACTGGTGGAAAAAACGATTTTGACGATATGATGGAAAAGAGCGATGATGGTCGCAATTCTTGCCCAGCGGCTCAGCACGAGGTCAAAAATAACATTAAAAAGAAAAGAGCCAGTATTAATAGCCAGGCGAAGAAACACACGAAAGTATTTTTCGTGGTCACTTTGGTGTTTATAATTATGTATACGCCCTATCTGATTTTAGGAGTATTTCTGGCATTGAAAGAAAACTTCCGCGAGAATATGAATGACTTGGAACTGACATTTTATCGTTTAGCCATGAGACTTGTATACGTTAATGATGTTATTAATTGTTTTATTTATGGAGTTTTCGACCACCGATTCAAAACTTCAGTTTTTAGATTTTACAAACGATTGTTGTCAATTTTTAAAAGGGAAAATAAGCCTTGACAAATACCCTACATGCACTTTTAAGAAAGGTTGCCCATCGAGTCTGAAATCTATAGGTAGCAACGTTTACATGTCAGACTTAAGAAGAAGTTTACATGCTCATTTCTTATGTACACTCACGCGCCAAAAGTATGTCAATTTTTTCACAAGATGGCCGCCATAGTTTTTGTTTACTACTTGAATAAAAAATGATGCACTTACCTTATTTCTTCGTATTTTGACTTAATATTTTGTAATGAAGCCTTTGGATGCGATCACTTTCCGACATCGTTTCGGTAGACTGGAGTAGAGAGACCTGAGGTAAGTTTTTGACAGATTGTTCCAAGCATACTGTAGTTCTTGTTTCAAGTCGTCGATGGTACGGATGTGGAAAATCTGACGTTTAACATGATTTTTCAAAACAAGCCAGACATTTTCAATTGGGTTTAAATCAGGGGATTGCGGGGGCCAAAAAAATGGTAGAATGCCATTCCTATGTTTCCAGTCTTCTGTCTCTCGTGAGCGATGAACAGGGCAATTGTCATCCATGAAATGCCAGGGTGAATTTGCAAAATATTTTACGATCACGGGCCATAAATGTTCATCCAACACTCTAATGTACTTCTGTGAGTTCATATTACCATCAACAAATGCCAGTATTCCAGCTCCATGGTAAGTTATTGTCCCCCACACCATTAACTTCAAACAGCGTGAGGGCCCTTGTCCAAGATACCCCAAGCAATAGCCTCTCCATTTCTCCGATGTTTTCCTCCAAACTTTAACTTTACCATCTGGTTTTACAACTATGGTCATTTCATCACTAAAAATAACATTCTTCCATTGTTGGTCAACTTTCCAAGTTAATTTTCCCCTACAATACTGAAGTCGTTTCTTCCTGTTCACTTCACGGACCCCCAATTTTTTTGCCACAGTCCTTCTCCAGTATTGCTGACGATGAAGCTCGCGCTGAATAGTTCTCTTAGATACAGAATTTGGCACTGACCTGTTGTATTCATCGGTTATTTCAGTTAAAGTTTTTCTTCTGTCTTTTTTTACGATTCTGGAGAGAGCCGTGTGGTCGCGAACTGTCATGGATGGGGGTCGTCCACTTCGAGGTTTATTTTCAACGTCACCCCGCTCACGAAATCGCTTTAAGAATCGACAAATTGTCGAGGAATTCAAATTCAGTAATTCAGCCACTTTAACCGCTTTTAATCCACTTTCTATTAGGGATATTACGGTCTTCTTTTCATCAATAGTAAGTTCTCGTCCCCTTCGTCCCATGTTCGTTGTTTACATTGACAATTAGCAGAAGTCATGACTACTTCCGGTTTACAAAGGCATTACATAATATACGGCAGCTTAATGGTGACATAAATAAGTCAAAATTCGTGAGTGAAAATAATTTTTTATTGAAAAAAAAATTATTGATTTAATTTATTTACGGCGGCCATCTTGAAAAAATTGACATACTTTTGGCACGTGAGTGTACATTTATACGTTTGTTCTCTGTAGCTTTCAAATCTTTATGTGTTTTGATTTTTTAATAATCCTTTTAATTATATACGGCTCCTGATACATTGGTTTGAATATACAATTCTTAAAAATTTACTTGTTACATGAACTTCTGTTAAAATTTTTGGACCAAATCTTATTTTATTGTCCTTTGTTATTTTGAAAAAAAAAATTTCTTTCGAAGTCTGCATTGCATGTTCTTACTTTGCAATAAGACCATGGACTACTAAAGAAAACTTGTTTGAAATATATATTTTTGTCAATAAACATTTCGTTTTTATTGAAATAAATGACTTTAAAACACTTTCATTGCATGAAAGTGTTACGTAGAGACTGTAAAAAAAATCAATTACGTATACTAGACGTATTTTTGTGCTTGGGAAAGTCTTTTGTCCCTGATTTATAACACATATTCACAAAAGGATCGGCTTTGATAAAATGAATGAGATGTACTGTACCATTTTACCTTTGTGTTCAAATTCAATTTAAGTCCATTAGAGATGCATAAAACTGACATAGATACGGCTTTCAGTTGCAAGTATAATACTCTACGTTGCCTGCTCCAATGAACACTTTAAAAATACAGTTAGTCGAACTTTATCATTTTCACAAATGTTTCAGAATCAAATTGAATGTTTAAAAAAAAATCGAGGTATGAACGGATTTTTTTTTTAACAAACACATCGGGCAAATGCATGATATTGGTGTCAAAAAACCATAATTTACCATTGATGCAGCATTTGCGCCAAGTTTTGTTAAAAGAAACTTTATTTTATTGACTTGAAACAAAAGTATGAAAGCTATATATCAAGCATTCAGTTGGTGATTACATGTACATTATACTTAATACATTTTTGTAAACGGTCCATAAATTCCTTTTATTAAAGATATTTTAATTCGACCATCCCGCCATCGTCGCAAACCACGGCCAAAATGTACGATCCTCTCTCTTTCGTAGGAGAGAGCTATATGCGGACTCCGGACCGTGGCTTGAGACGATGCCATTCCACCAAGAACGTCCAAAACGCATGTAGACAGGAAACGTGAGCGTCGCGCACGCAATAATAGAACATTGATAACTTCCATAAAACTAAAAATACGAACTTGAAATTTAGCAGAAAAATTAAAGTTAAAATATTGAATGAAAAAATTTAAATATTACAATTGTAAACATTTAATGGATTTGGTCTGAAAGCGTCGCTCAAAATGCAAGATATAAATATAGATAGGCCCTTTACAATTGAAGAAATACATCACGACAATGAAATATTATTGGGTACTAAAAAATATTCAATAAGCTTATATTAAATCACATCTCGATACTCTTTATCATGTGTACAAATAACTGTATTGGAAGAGAATGGTTGTGTGTCGGTTGGGAACCTAATATTTTTTTTGTAGATTAATTGGGAGGAAATTGAATAATTAAATTATTTTGTCGCAGACTTCGCACGTTCAATGTAAAAAGGTTTACAAGAATAGGTAAAATGGCTAATTTTGTAAAACTGAGTGAAAAATTTATTGAAAGTACATGTATTTTGTTTTTAATTCTGCAAAAAAACTTTGTCGTATTACATGCATTAAGAAAGCATACAAGTATCTATGTTGAAAATGCAATTCAGAATAATTGCGATATAAATCTAATTACTATGAACTGACTGTTATGTTATTTATCGTAAGTGTAGTTTCATTAAATAAACAGACGTATAAAAAGTGTTTAATATAATCCAAAATAATTTTAGTAGAATGGTGTCTGCTTAGTAATACCCCCGCTTTGATGAGAATACATGTATACGTTCTCATGTGAACCGACATTTCACTTAGCACATACATGTACAAAGGTAGCTGCAGAAATGTGGCTCTCCGAAAAAATATATAGTGACAGACGGGAGAGCTTGTGCCAACCATCACCCACAAAAAAGTGCACTTGATTTATTTCTCAGTGTTTTTAAACTGTCATCTTATTACTAGAAGTGTGTTTCTAACATATTCTTTCAGAGTTTCCACAATAATTCCTTATAATTGTTTTTAACAGCAAATTGAAATCATTGAAAATTTTTCCTATTTATACTCCCATTTTGGTCTTCACGATAATTCGGTCCAACGCACTTAGTACAAATGTAAAGTACGAAAGTAACAGAGGAGTAAGGACTTTTTTGAAATATAGCCTTTTTTTGCAATTGAGGAAAATTTCGCAATTAATTCGGGCAAACTTTTTTTCCAATAAATATACAGTTTTTTCAATGGGTAATTTATCTCCACAACTAAAATATTTTTTGAAAATCCGCAAAAGGTTGTACAAATTTTGACGCGCTTTAAATAGCATTGTGATTCTGTAATATTTTTTTTTCAACCCAGAGTTAAATAATAGCACAAAATATCCAACTCCTATAGTTTCACGCAGCCCCCACCCCCTTCCCCAGAATCGCACTCATTTATACATGTCCTTTCAGAGGAAACGCACGGGCAAACTGTTTATTTCCATTGTCTTCTATGATAATTTATCTACACAACTAAAATCCATCTTTTGAAAATCCGCAAAAGGTTGTACAAATTTTGGCGCGCTTTAAATAGCATTGTGACGTCGTAATAAATTTCGTTATAATAACGTTACATATCTAGCCTATAGGCTACATTTGGAATATTATGATTCACAAGGAATTTTAATAAATCTGATCAGGTAAGTGAATTATTAAGTATTTTAAATAAATCTTTGCAAAAAGGACTGCAGTGGTCTGCAAGAAGTGGACTTGTAAAACTACGAAGCTAATTTACTATTAAGAAAAACACTGAGTGAATTTTTTTCCCTTTAGATTTTATTTGAATTATTTTTGTGTTCTGGTTTACCTTGGAAAAAATGTAAAGTTCTTTTTACGAAAATTTTTGCAATGACGTTGCTAAAGGTGACGATGCAGGGTGAGTCGTTGTGTTGTGACAACAAGCTCATAGTAACGGCATCAGTCGTAGCGAACGGACGTGCAAAAAATTCAGAGCTAAAAATTGAAAATTGACAATGAAACGACGACTTTCAGCTGAGGATTCCTGTACTGAGGGGAACATAATGGTATAAATTACCTTTATGAATATTCTTTTATTTATAAATCTTCCCAAATATGAAAATATTCAATGAAGTAAAAATTTATGGATACTCCGTATCCTAGATCAAACTCGAAAGTTCAATTTCGATAGAAATAAAAGACGAGGGTTCCACACTTACACAAAAATATTTAATGAAAGTTTAAAGTATTTATTTTACATTTTAATTTTACAATATTTTTTAAGAACGATCAAAGATCAGTACTGTTATAGACTTCCTGTAAAAGATACAAATGCATGTCCACATGTGTGCATTGATTTAGTTACCTACAAAGTAAGCGTCCTGGGGAGGGGGGGGGGGGTTCGAGTGAATTTTTGTTTTTCTTAGATTATATTAGAACAATTTTTGAGTTTTTTCTTGCTCTAAAGGACACACACAGATCCGTGGCACGCGGAAGGGAGCGGCCACTTTTCAGTTATACTGATGTACATGTATAGTTTTATTTTGAAAATTGACATTTTGAAGCTGCTAGACACCCCTCCTCCATCTTTTCTTTCAGTACAGCCGAACACAGCCAATTTCATCATTTAAAATAATTAACCCAAAAAAAGTTGGAGCCCCCCCCCCCCCCCCCCCCCCCCGAAGGGTTTTGAGATTGGACAGTTTCAGACCTTATTTAATTTTTTTGTTGCTTTTCTTTTTTTTAAGGCTATAAAAAACGTTGAATCGGTCATACATGTAAAAGAAACATTTTTGTAAAACTTTCCTCCAAATCTTTCTTTTTACGAAAATAATTATTGGCAATGACGTTGCTAAGGGTGATGATGCAGGGTGAGTCGTTGTGTTGTGACAACAACCTCATAGTAACGGTATCAGTCGTAGCGAACGGACGTGCAAAATATTCACAGCGAAAAAAACTGAAAATTGACAATGAAACGACGACTTTCATCTGAGGATTCCTGTACTGAAGGGAACATAATGGTATAAACTACCTTTAGGAATATTCTTTTAGTAAAACGTATCTCCCGAAAATGGAAATATTTAAGTCATTATAATATTTTAGGAATGCTTGGCATCCGAATTCAAACTGGAAATATTTTCGGGGTTCAATTTCGCCAGAAATAAATCCCAGCCGGGTTCTAAAATTGCAGAACGAAAAAGGAATGAAATATAAATATTATTACATTTATTTTATTTAACAAGAATTAAAAAAAAAAAGTTATTAGAATTCTTGTAAAATTGCAAAGAATGTATGCATATGTAAACTATCCTATGAAGTTTACGTAAAAAGCAAGAAGTAAAATATTTGTCCTCCTTTTCATTTGTATAAGAACAATTTTATGTTCTTTAATTTTTTGCTTTGAAAAGACAGACTTTAATAGGATATGTAGGATTTTCTGAGAATAGTTTTTTTTGGGGGAGGGGGGGGGGGGGGTAATTTTATTCAAATTAACTTTTTTCTGAACAGTCGAATTCAGTTAAAACACTTCAATTAATTTTTTTGTTTTCCTGCAACATTTTTTGCTTTCTTTCATTTCTTTTGAAAAAAGAAATACATGCCCTTAGAACGCAAGGGATCGATCTTTTACAATTTTCTCAGTATGTTAATTGAAATTATGAAGCCTTGACCCCCCCCCCCTTTACCAGTTTCTTTTCTGGTAAGGTCGAACACACCAAATTTCATCATTTAGAGAAATGTACGAAAAAGTTTGAGAAAGCCCTCCCCCCTTTTTTTCCACTGAAATAGGATTTTCGTGTTAAGACTATCACATTTTTAAAAAAAAAAAAAAATTTAATTGTATGTCATTTTAAGGGGATGTCTTTACTTTGCATCCAACTTCAAACACGAACAAAAGTTCTGGAGTTCAGTTTCGCCAGCAATAAATCCAAACGGTTCCAAAGTTACAAAACAAATCATTAATGACAGATTTTATATTAACAACAAAAATAAAATAACATTTCTTGTAAAATTGGTTTATACGTGTAAAATATTTATTTAAAAATGGAGCTGTTGAACAAAAAGATTTACATATACTGAGTTACAATCGATTAATTTGTTGTTTTTTTTTATTTTAGGCAAAGAGACGAAAAATCAGACGAGGAAAGAAAGACGGGAGGAAACCTGGTCCTCGTTCGTCCTCCGACTCCTCCAAAGTTCCCAGAACAGAGTCGTGCGCATCAGACGTCTCTAGCCGCAACAGTGAAACGGCAGGCAAACTATCAGCTGCTGATGAATATGCATTGATCTCTAAGGAGATACGTGACTTTGAAGCAGCTTGTGCGTTAATTTCTGAGGATATACATGACTTAGAAACTGCTTGTGAAATTTCGCAGACAGATTATACTGCAAACACTCTTGACAACGATGAGGTTGCGGGCGATTCAAATGTTGCAGCGGAGCTACAACAAGACTTTCAATCAGTTGATGGTGCAACCAATGAAAGCAACAATAATGCATGTGTTCTCTCACAAGCAGAAGTTCTTGGATTGTTTCAAGGACTGAGCAACACGTACAATCTAGCAAAGTTGTCTCCGCAGGAGCAACCTTTCCATGTTGTGTCAGACGGTTCCTCTATGTACCTGGTGGGCCCTCAAAATCAGGTCTATATGTCACTGGTACCACCGACTGGAAGTAGTGCTGCTACCACAACAGACTCTCAAATGGTGTGCACCATTCACGACAACCCTGACCAATCTAACCAGCTCACAGACAACATCAACAAATCAGTAAGTCAGTCTCTGTATTTCTCAGTCTTACTCTATCTCTCTTCTTTTTCTTACTCTCAAACAAAGTTCAATCTATTTTCTATTCTGTCTTCTTATCTCTCCTAGCAACAGTTCATTTCCAAGTCTTTTTCTGAGAGAATCAAGGAAAGGCTTGAAAACTGGGTAAGAACCTTGCATTTAGAGAATGGTTGGATATAATTTACTCGACATTCTGTCTCGGCCTTTGCTTTATTATATATCCATGGGCGAATTTGAATTTCAAGGTTAATGGTCTTAAGGGTTAGAAATGTGTATGGGTCAGTGGGTGGGTCGGAGTGAGGGATTCCAAACCATAGGATGATCCCACTACAACTTCTGAAAATTACTCTAAAATATCCATTCTTCTTAGCATTATCCTCCATATCATTAAAACTCAATTTTTGTTGATTTTTTTTCTCAGTATGATGCGACAATGGATGTTGATCGGAGAGAGGCGGATCTACTGAGATATCCCTCTCATCTGGTAAGTGTTACCTTTGCTTCAATTTTCCTTCATTCTGTAGTTATATAGACAAGATATATCAACTAATACAAATTCAAACCCAAAATATAATGAAAAAGAATATCAAGATTCTAAATATATGCCTACAGCTTTATTACGTCACGAATGGCTCTTAATTGTTGAAAATTAGCGGTGTCTAAAATTCATGGCGAAACTTTTTTTTATTAAAAGGGGGAGGGTAAATTTGAAAGGTCATTATAGCAATTAACAAATAAGGCTTTGATACCCCCCCTACCCGTTCGTCGTGGTTTCGGTCAGACTTAGCTTTACAAAGTTAAAATTATAAATGGTGAATGTTTTTTTTTCAGTTGGAATGGTCTGAGCGTGTGAAATTCAGTCACCAGCGCAAGTGGAAAAGGCTAAAATACCACGAGCCTAAGTACAGCGAATGGGATTTCCTCTGAGGAACAATTTCATGAACGGGGCAGTTACTATGTGTTGCGGTGCTATAAACTCTGGGCCGCCCTGTGACAATTTCATGAATGGGACAGTTATTAGGTGTTGTGGTGCTATAGATTCTCGGGGCCATCCTGTGACATTCCATGCCAGCCCATCGCTTGTCTTTCAGGACTTTTCGAACATGCACATACACATTACTTTTTTATTGTTTGTTTGGCAAATTTTTTTTGGGCAAAATGTGTTTGCCATGATTTTTGGCAAACAGCTACAGTAAGCACTATGTGCTTTGATATAAATCATTTGATATTTGTCTCGTAATTATCATATCTTTGATTTTATCTTTATTTTTGGCACCAAATACATCTTTATTTAATATTTTGAACAACTTATTGGTTTGGCTCTGAATATAAGTGGCCATTAAGAGTTGGTTCTTCATCATCATGCTCTAATAACTTATAAAATATTTTGATTATTATAAAAATAATTACTTGTAAATATTTTGATTATCATAAATATAATAACTTGTAAATAATTTGATTATTTTATGAATAAACTATAGTTTTTACATTATCTGTCTCTTGCTTTCTCTTCTAATTAACCTCATAAATAAAAACTTTCCCCCTGGCAATACACATTAATTTGATTTATGGGTAGATAATATTCTCTTTCTGTCCAAATCCTTATATTATGAGTTTCAAAGCATTTCTTCAAAAAATTAAAAAGTTACATCTTTAGATTTATCAACCCTTAAAGAGAGATAACTCTCAAAGACTATCAGTTTATTTTTGTTTTAAATTTCAAGTTTAAGGCCATGCAAAGTAAATTCCTTGGCTCTCAGGCCTTTTTTCAAGAATTATGATGAGGGAGGGAGGCGGGTTTTTTTTACTTTTTTTATTGAGGCAGCTTTTTATATTGTTCAAAACCTCAAAAATGATGAGGGAGGTGATTTGTTCTTTTTATTTGATTGATTTTGCAATAAAAAGGGTCAATGAGGCACCCTTGGAAGAGATAAGGGAGGGCCTGATAAGAAATTATTTTTTTTTATGGCCTTAAGGCTTTTTTTGTTGATCATCTCCCTGAAAAAAATGCTAAAATAGTTAAAACTTGCATTTAAATTTCAAAAAAGATTTAGAAAATCTCTTTATTTTTTCTATGATTTACCCAAGGAATAATGAACCTTATATCAATAAGACCATACTGCTCTCAGAAATTCCCTGGGGTCAATTTCAGATCTTGAAGAATCAGAGAAAAGGTTAAATTAATATAACAATACAAAGAAGAAAATAATATCATTTTAGTTGAGTTTTAATATGATGAATCACTATTTTTTCATCATTAATAAACCTACATACAATTTCAAACCTAATCTGTATTACATGTATAAACATTTTAATGTGCATTAAATACCAATGTGTATCTGATCCTAAACAATAAGCACTGTGACTAAATACTTTTTTTATATACCATACCAGTAACCCTTAGAAGCTGTGACTATAGATGGCTCATACATACCATGAAATCACTTATTTTCATAAGGGGTTTAATTTTTGTTGTTTTTCGTGGCATAAAGTCCAACAAATTCATGTCTCACAAAGTTTAAAATTTCACATATATCACAATTCAGCACTTTTTCAACCAAAGAAATCAATCAAACGGCCATGAATGAAAACCATAAAAATTCGACATCAATAAAATTGTTCAATTTTCATTGAGTATTGATTTTGCTGTAACACGTTATTTTACAAATTATTTCATACTGTTGAATTACATGCATCTTTTGAAAACAACATGAATACAGTAAAACTCACTTAGTATGAACACGGATATTGCAAATTCATGGATATAGCGAAGTCCTCTTGGATCTCCAGCTCTATAAATTTAATGAATTTCATATACGGTTATAACAAATTACGAATATAGTGAAGTAATTTCATAGATCCCAGCGACTTCGTTATAACCAAGTTTTGCTGTACATGTGCATAAAAACAAAGTATCCTGAGAAGTGTTAAAAGTTACAAACTGGATATATTGTGAAATCAATCATTCTTGATGGGGTTTAATTCTTGTTGTTTTCATGGCTAGGAAATGTAGAATTTTAAATATACATGACTGTATATTCCGCACTTCTTCACATACTAAATCCAATCCCAATGTTCAAATAAGTATTCCTCGAACCTTGAAAATGTGACCCTATGAATATAAGTGATTTGACTGTATATGGAATGTAAGAAGAAAGGATGAAAAAGGAACCTTTGGTTACTTTTGCTTCACTCCCAAAACATTGGATATGCCACAAAAAATTCAAAATCAAACCACTGAACTTGTTCACAATTAATTCAAGTGCTTTCTTTGTCTTGGATTTTTGCATTTACAAAGTGGTGTTCCTGTATGACTAAGATTGCTATATCACTAAAATGTATTTATGTAAAACCATAAACAATGATAAATAATTCAACATTCAATACATGTAATTTGAATTACAGACATTCTTGAATAACATAGAAAAATGAATTTTATTTTAAAGTGATCTATATATAATAAAGCATAACCCATCAGTTGGTAGCTGAAATAAATGTGTAAGAGATGCATTAATCTGTTTTTCTATGATGCACCAAGAAATATGACTTAATAGAGTATATACACGTATCTTCATTGTTTCTATATATATGACCAATTGCATATCACAATTCCTAAGAGGATATTTAGGTAAAAATAATCAGCATTTCCATCTTGATTGTCATTCAACATTCAAAGACCTTGAAAAGATTTTCAAAATAATTTGATAAATGTGTCTTGAAACTTGGGACAAAATTGTCAAAAAAAAAAATATATTTAATTTGACTATCACTACTTATACAATGCCATATTTCTTAATTACTGGACTTTTTTTCCAAATCTAACACTTATGTATTATTACCCTTGAACTTTGTGTCTCTTAAAATTTAGCTACATATTTACACATACATATACATGTATATTAAGTAGTTGAACTTGTAGAATTCACAATTCATTGCACTGCAGTGGAATGTGCCACAAGCATTTCACATTTAAGAGGATCCATTAATTACACTGGCAAACAGTGAACATGTAAACTGTACATCTATTACATCTACATATACCTGTACAACTTGCACTTTTTTTTTTTACACGTGTCAATGCAAAACCTAATTTCATTAAACCCTTTTACAAATACATGTAAATTAAAATTGAGCCTTTTACATGAGTAAATATTGGTCCACTTCTACATGACAATTAAAAGGGGGAAAAATGCATGAAGAATGCTTGGGTGAAAATTTGAAAATTTAAAACTCCTATTTAGCTAGATCTTGGTATATTCTCATCTTGGTTTGTCTGTCTGTCTGTTTGTTCAAGAGGATGTGAAACAGAGTCTGTGTCACTGTTGCTGGCTCCGTATGATACCTTGTTATCCGAATTTAGTTTCATACTCTCGTTGTATTCTGATGGGGGAGGGCCTAACACGATGGGCGTCGCCCCGTCTGTTTTCGGTTGTTCTGTCACCACATGTTCTGGAGAGCCATTCTCCGGGCTGCTAAATTCATCCTGAAAAACAAATTTCATTATCACAAAAAATGCTTGATTATGAACCAATTATTTTAACATGATCTTTATACTTGTGTTATTTTTCAATAAAAACAGATTTTCTTTAAATTAAATTACTAACTAATGAATACAATTAAAAAAGAAATAATACATATTTAAGCTTTATCGGAATTATTAAATTACATGTACATAATTGATGACATAACTCATTTATCTTATTCAAGTAAATCTTGGAAATATACACATTCAAAAGCATTTAGTAAGTGCATCAAGGCTTTAAGTTGAACAAAATTAAGAGTATAATGTCAATTTTATAATATAATTCTCTTTCATGAGTCCTATCAAACTCCCAATAAGAATAGTTACATGTACCCCATCTTTATTAAAACCAAATATCAGATATGGAATAAACACTGAAATGCGTAGCCACAGATGAACAATATTAATACACTGTACAATACAGATGTATAATACCAGTACATATTTTGAGAACTGAAAAATGTAATTTAATTTTTTTATTTGTTCACTTATTCACGAGAACTTCATTTCTGCATTATAACACCAGACAATGTGCTAGCAAAAATATCATTCTCATGTACATTGTATTCCTAAGATTATACACAGCAGTAACCACAATTCATAAAAATTTTGTCTTGCTATGAAGAGTAAATGTCTAACTTGCAAAAATAAGGCATCATGAAATTAAGTGAAGTTAATTACACCATTGCAATGAATGTATTGTTGGACACAGTTCAACCATCCCGAACATCATAAACTAAAATTATTTTTTCCCCTTTTCAAAATTTAAAGTGGATTACACCAAAATTAACCCACAGAATTTTAGATTTATAAAGGAAACATTATCTTTTTCCATTACAAGATAAAAGTGATTTTTTTTGTGTGTGTGATACTCTGATTCAAAAATTGCTTAAAAAATGGATTCAATCTCCTTAAAATACCTCAATTAATTCTTACATGTAGCATATTTGAGAAACACATATTGATAGGATTATTTGAATTTCACTACATGTACCACATTCTATATTCACCTAAAAAAAAAAAAACACCTGTAAAATGCAGAAAAATTATCCAATCAAGATGAAAATACCACATGCACCCTTCACATGGCAGAGTTGTGTAAAACTTTTTCAGATAGCCAGTCATTCGGACTGGCAAGAAAACAAACTAAGAAAGTGCGAAGTGATTTTTATCGGTCCGAAATAGTAAGTTGCAAAATGGAAAAAAGCATAACATTTATTCATTTTATAACACATCTATTTAATTAATCGTGTTGTTAATAAAACAAAATTCAGTCTCCATTTCCAAGTACTCTTCCGTTTTCTTTTAATTTTGCATTTATAACAATACTAGATACAATTATACCATGTACTGCTTTTTGGCAGGTGACAATGCTAATTCAGCACAGTCAACATAATGTTTAAAAACATTTATACATTTTGGAATAATATTATCCTAGAAAATGGGTCTAAAAATTCTTTGCATCGATAATTTGATAATAAAGATATCAACACGATCACACAGTGAAATGCTTTCTCAATAATTCTTTCTGTTGAAATTTTTCATACTTAGTACAAATTTTTAATATGTTTTCTACCATAAATTTAATCCATGCTAGTTTTGCTTTCATTTACAGCCTTGATCACGTTTAAAGATAAGGTATTATGCAATCGCATATAATATACGATAATTATAGATGGGAAATGCACAAAACAAAAAAACTTTAACCAAAAAAGGGGCTGGTCATTTGGACCAACATTGATAGCATTTTTACTGGTCATGTGAATTTTAAGCCGGTTTTGCCGGCATGACCGACAGTTTTCCACAACTCTGACATGGTGAATAATAAATGTAAAATTTTTCCGTAAAATCCATGTGCTATACCTAGGTAGTCTCAGAAAAAAGCTCTGGACAAAACCTCCTGTACAGACAAAATAGGTGACTCCAATATACCCCCCCCAAAAAAAAACTTTGATTGCAGGGGTATAAATTAAAATAAGTGATGTTGGAAATACACTGCATTAGTAGTGGATCTATAAAACTGTGTTAGTAGCAGCACCGTGATAAAATAATTGTCAGCAGCATGTGGTTATAAGGGAGAAGCCAGGCACAGCAAGAAAATGACTAAAAAGATCTTACAGGACGTACATGTAGATTGGTATATTCTCCCTCCTCCTCGGGATTGGGCGGCTTCCATTTGCCGCAACAGAAATTACAGCAACAACAGCAACAGCAGCAGCAGTAGCAACCCGTGATGACTCCACAGAAAATGAACAGAGCCTACAAAGGAAAATTCTCCTTAATAATTTGAAACATACAATACAATATACATATTGTAAATATATATGAAATATTGTTCATTTCAACAATTTGTAAATTCAGGTGGAGATTGACAAACAAACAATTTTATAGAGTATAGAGATTAACTGACATGGATCTTTTATTTTTCAAATCACTTTCTGGTTTTTTCAAAACGTATATATCAAACTTTCACTTTGGTTACAGATTCAGCAAAGATCATGCAAACACACTTTTACACTTTGATCAATTTTGATTTTTTTTTAATACGTAACACACATAAAACCCTAACACTTCAATTTAATGTTCAATGAATTTCCTGTTTATGGTTTTAGAATCTTTAAAAACAATCTGTGATTATAATCTTAAATTCTGTATAGGTCTTTTCTTCCTTATTGTGTCACATATAAAATACATGTATTCAAAATTTACATCTCAGCTATTGCAGAAAAAAAACAAGAGGCCCATGGGCCACATCGCTCACCTGAATAGCTTTGACCATGCTATTCTTTACAAGATCCGCCCCTTGTAATACATGTACCTTTTGTAACCCCACCCTATACCCCAAAGGTCATAATTTGGACAATTTAAAATCTACTCTACCCCACCATGCTTTCGCATAAGTTTCAACTTTTCTAGCCCATTAATTCCTGAGAAGAAGATTTTTATAGATTTTTCCTTTATATTTCAATGTAAAGCTTGGGTTCCCTGTTGTGGCCCTGCCCTACCACCAGGGGTCAAGATTTGTACAATTTGGAATCTTCACTACCCCAGGATGCTTCCACATACGTTTCAGATTTTCTGTCCCAGTGGTTCTTGAGGAGAAGATTTCTTTAATGACCCCACCCTATTTCTGTCTTTCCTTGATTATCCCCCTTTGTGACGGGACTTGGCCCTACATTTTAACAATTCTAACAACTCCCCTTCACCCAGGATTAGTGTACTAAGTTTACTAAGTTTGGTTAATATTGGCAGTGGTTCTTGAGAAGAAGTCAAAAATGTGAAAAGTTTACAGATGAACGGACAGACAGCTAGATGGATAGACGACGGACAAAATTTGATCAGAAAAGCTCACTTGAGCCTTTGGCTCGGTTCAATGTCTGTAGGTATGGAGAAACCTATAGATTCATCTCAACCATAAAATTATATCCACATATTTACATTTGCAAATGTTTTCCTTTATATAACACTGCTGAAAGCAAGCGTTTTTATAACTGTATAAATACAGGTATGGGGTCAAAAGATGTGCGTTTGGATAAACGTTCGACATAATTTCTCTGTGACGTCATAAAGGGTCGACGCCCGTTTAGTGGATAACATACATGCCGTTGGGTTTGAAAAATAACGCATTTCACAGTCCAGTCCAATACGAAAATTCGTAATATTACGAAAAAACGTAAGATTACGAGAAAGCGTAATATTACAAGTTATTGTAATATAAAACTTATATTACAATTTTTCGTAATGTAGTTAAATTATGAATACGCATAATAAAGCAGATGTAAGAGACTATATTACGAGTTTTCATAATCCAAGACAAATTCAAGCATTGCAAGAAACTGAGTGGCGGATAGCAAAGTATGACGTTTAATACGAGATGTCACGGGCGATCATTATACGACTCTTACTGAGAATTGAATTCTGTTTAATACAATAGGAATTGCACGAAAAGTTGAATTATGAGACGAGGGTGGGATTTTTAGGGTAGGCTTCGGAAGAAAAGTAGGTAGTTCTGATGATATAGACCAATGCGGCATGTTTAAGCGAATATTGAAATTTACTGGAAAATTGGTCTTATCCTTGTGAAAATTCCTATGAAAGAATTATAAAAGAAATTGTCCACTCACCCATCGCTGGCGGTCTTTCTCTTGAATTTCCATGCTTTCTGATAGGCGTAACTGACCAAACTTGCTATCAGTAGCCGTGGAATCTGATATATTTGTCATACTTTGCTACCCACCACTCAATTTCTTGCAATGCTTGAATTTGTCTTGGATTACGAAAACTCGTAATATGGTCTCTTACAATCTGCTATATTACGCGTATTCATAATTTAACTACATTACGAAAAATTGTAATATAAGTTTTATATTACGATAACTTGTAATATTACGCTTTTTCGTAATCTTACGTTTTTTCGTAATATTACGAATTTTCGTATTGGACTGGACTGTTTCACACGTTATAAGTAACAATCAGGCAAATTTAAAGTATGAACAAGTCACAAATGTAAATATAAGTAATAAGGTATCATTTTTTGAGTTTTATTGAGATGTAAAACGGGTTGGCAAATGATCAAATCTTCCATAAAGCCCTTCGGGCTTTATGGGATTTGATCACATGACCAACCCGTTTTACATCTCAATAAAACTCAAAAAATGATACCTTACAGTACAGGCCACGAGTTTTCCGCAACGCTCGGTGGAAAAAACACCGTGTGAAACGCTCTGTGTTACACCGTGTACACGGTGTAGCACGGTGTGTGTGGATTTGAAATATACAGGTAGGCACACCGTGCCGCACCGTGTCTAGAAAAAATCTCAGCTAATGCCCTCCGTGTCGCACCATGTCCAGTAAATTTCGTTCCGTTGCATGTCCAGAAAATTCTCCTCCAAGCTGCACCGTGTAAATAGTATTACAGACAAAATCGTTTGTTACTGATGAAAAATTTGATAATAGATTTTGATGACAATTTATAACTTTGGTTATGTATATATAAAAATCGTTTTTATTCTACCAGATATTGAACTTCGAATGGCACGCATGATATTGAGATTAGATGATTTTCATTTGAATTAACTATGTATCTAGAAATTTATATTTTAGTAAAATTATTCATCCACGTCACAAAATCAAAATTATGAATTTTATTTTAAATGAATGATTTAATCTCGTGTTCACGTAACAAAGGAAGACGAAATGGCGTCGAGCTGTATTCGTGTCACATACACTGTATACATAGTACAGTATAAAATTAAATCGGAGCTGTATTTATGTTCATGGTTTTAACATGTACAGTACTAGTGTACGATCCAAGCATTACAATGTATATTCCTTATTAAAAAAATCATTTTGTTCATCTTGAATTATTCTGAATGTGAATGCGAAAATCGTCAGCAGAAACACGAAATTAATGCAATAATTTCAAAGCATATTTCTCGTATCAACAAACATTATTTTCATAGAGTAGTATTCACTACGTTATGTTTTAAAAATCCTTTCAGTGTAAGTAGTTATTTTAATTTGTTTGTCTTTTCTTGTAAAGTGTATAAAAAGTTATACCAGAGAGAGAGAGAGAGAGAGAGACAGAGAGACAGAGAGACTCATACAACCCCCTTTTAACATATAGTCTGTAATTTTTTTTTAATTCTTCGTTTTATTTAAGTTACGGAGGTCACAATTAATCATTCTATAATTCTGTTTAATTGCCACAACTTTTGTTTATATTTAACCCATTTAATGCAATTAATTCGTTCACTGTATATGCTGTACGCACAAAATTCTCGTGCATCACCTGCCAATCAAAATCCCACGACGCTAGGTGACCTTGAAAGTCTGTTTACGCGGAAAGAATTTCTCTTGTGATTTGAAACAATCTTATGGTCAGTTCCGAGTTCACACCTGTTCAAAAATATATTGGGTCTCTGCCGGTGGGCCAGGGGCGCCGTATGTTTATCACACCTTTCAAATTCTTTAGCTCTGACCACAGCAAGTGTATACATGTAACACACTCAACTGATATGCGAAATTCATCTTCCAGGTTTCACTACAACAACAATTATAAACTTACATGTATTTGTTAATTTATTTATCCTTTTTCAGACACAAATAAGAATGTATCCCGTAGATTAAGATTAAAAAAAAAACATAACATAAATTTGCAGACTTCTGATAAAGTTTTAACTAGCTGATTCGTATCGCTTTTTTAGAAAGGGGGGGGAGGTTAAAAATCACTAAATATCTACATGTATATGTTTTCTCAAACCGTTTTTTCTTCTTTTCACACGATATATTTCAGAATGAAGTAATATTCGTACTGAAGTTAGCACATTTCATTTGCCAAAAATTCGGCTGTGTTTTTTTGTATTCAGCGTGTTTACTAAGTTTATCACTATTTCAATTAATGAAATTATTCAGATTATTATCTCTGCCTGTTCAGTGGATTTTCGAGTTTACCGCATTTAATATTTATCTCCATATTTTACATAATTACAGATTTTTAGAGTTAGTCTTACTGTAATAATCCTCATCTGAACCTGTCCGATGATTCACCGAGTATCGGCATCATAGAGCAGAATTAATGTACGAGTCTGATACCTTTTTTTTTTTTAATTTAATCTACACACAGTAAATGTACATTTAATTTCTTACAAAATAATTAATTCACTTAATTTCTTACAAAATAATTAATTCACTTAGTATAATCACGCATCTGATATGTAATACATAGGGAAAAACGATCTTGTATCAACGATTTAATTGAACACAGTTAAAATCAAAATCGAAAGTAGAGACAATCAAGTAATTCATTTATGAAAGCGTGTTTCCTCTTAATGTAATATAATAATAGTCTATTGAACTTTTATGACTAATATAATTAGTATTTAACTTGAAACGTGACTGTATATTTTTTGCCGGACACGAGTACGTTGTTATTAAGTTTTAAGGCATCTTATTGGTTTAATTATCTGTATGCGATAAATTACCAATATTGATTTATGGAAAAAGTACAACAAATATTTCAAAAGAAAGTTGATTTAATTTTATTAAATAAAGGCAATGAGAATGTTTAAAATATTTATCATCAGAACTGTGACACACCGTGTTACACGGTGCACAGAAACGCTGACTTCAAAGACGCCGACAAGGTTCGAGGTCCACGCTAAAGCGTGGACTTGCGGTCCACGGGGCCCCGTGTTTTTTGCGGAAAACTCGTGGCCTGTACTGTATTTCTTAAAAAATCAAATCCCCACAAGCCAAGAGTTTTTCCTCAAACCACCAAAAAATTGGACACCACTAAAATATGTGATTTTACAGTATACAGTATATACTAGCCTTGCACCATCCACTGGTCAGTAGGAGGTAGGTAGTGGCATTCTCTTCACCAAACTGGTCAGCCGCCCAGATTCCTAGTGATCCATACTCATCATAAATCTGTCTCTTTGTTGTGTCTGTCAGAATGGTGTGAGCTCGGCTGATTTCTTTAAACTGAAAAGTTGTGGAAAAACATTGAGAAATTCTAACATTGACTTAAGAATATTTGAAATATTGCAAAAAAGGTTGGAGTTTCCAACCCTTTTCTATTAATGGTCCTATTAATCTGTCATTTTAAGACCTTCCAAAAAGTATCCATCTTAAAAGTTAAATTGCATTAAGAAATACAGGTTGGAATTTCCACATTGCACTGATAAATGCTTGGTACATGTACTAGTAGATGTTTCCAAAATAAAAAAGTTCTAGATTCCAAATTTTAATTGTATTTAAAAATTACACATGAATTACAATTAAAATTAAGCCATATTCTTTTCTGTTAACTTTGTTAACCTGTTAACTGCAATGTACTTTACAGAGTCAAAGGTAAAAATTATGGCTATTTCTGACATTATTTGATTTTTCCTGTAGGTCATTTGATAATAATATCACATATTATGCACATAAAACAGGAAATAAATCAGCACTTCATTAAATGTATATCTATAACAAGATTTTCTATCCTGAAGAGTTGATTACTTTAGGAAGATATATATACATATTTCTCATGAGATATGTTGAAGAATTGAAGTGCTCAAAAGGAATTTCTCGCCTGTCCAATACATACAGAAACAGAAAACTCTGTACATGTAATGTCTAGAAGCAATTGTATTAGATATTCTGGTTTTCTTTCACCATTTCTAAGAAATAATACCCAAAATGAGCAGTAAAAAAGTGGCAGCGTAAAGCAAAGGTTTTTTACAATCCTTGGTCAATGGATCTGTAGCTCTCTGCTTAAATATCTGTCCTAATTTTCTCCAGCAGAGAGCTACAGTTCTGCAGCTAGAAAGCAAAGGGACATTGAATCTCATTTGTCTGTATAGTTTGTCTGTCTGTCACAAAAACTTTAACTTTTTAAATGAAAAGAGATAGGGCTTTCATATTGCACATGTTCATAAAATGTGACAAGACCTTTCTAAATATACCATGAGATTGTTCCTGTGACCTTGAAGTTTATCCAACTTTTCAAAAAAAAATCTTTCTTATTACTTTTCATTGAGAAGAAATTGGACTTCCATATTTGGCATGTGCATTACCTGTGATAAGATATTTCTGAACTTGCTATAATTTTTTATCCCTTGAACTTGAACTTCATGGCATTTTTTTTTTAATGGAATATGATTGCATGGGTGTTCATATTTGACATAATATGTCATAAATAATTGAATCCTGTACACTAAGACACCAAAAGCGACAGAACACAATTCCTTGAATTTGCTTGTTTTTATTCTATTTTTTCAACTTGAATATAAAATGAATATTAAATGAATGAAATCCTGTTGCTAAATGAATGACATCCTGTTGCCACCTTTTGAATTCATTTATAGATACATCAAGAGTATGACACCATTTCCTGAATAAGCCACAGCAAGTCCATACATCATTGCATGCCAAAAACAATTGATCTATGAAATTATTTCCCAAACATATTGATTACACGTTCCTAAGAGGGCATACAAAATGTATAACATTTGATTAACTGCAGATAATATCCATACAGTCTAGGCATACACATGATAAAACAAGCGAGTGCTTACAAGTGGGAGCAACCATATTGCACCCTATAGTAGGTAATTCAACTCGATTACATGTACAGCTATTGAACTGCCCAAGAATACTGTAGAGTAGCTGCAGATCTGTAGCTCTCCGAAAAATATATATTGAAAGACCGGAGATCAATATATATTTTTCGGAGAGCTACAGATCTGCAGCTAACTGTAGAGGGAAGGACATGTGATGTTTAGTGATAAACCATCATGATGGATAATTGAAAAATATAATCAAAGAGATTAAATTTCAATCAATTTTCTTTGTTAGTGTCAGTGATGAGTATGCATGCAGAATTCAAAGATTTCGACCAGAAAAATTAATTTTCATGGTCGCAAGCCATATTGGAAATAGAATGGGCACAAAACCAGTGGCTTGCGACAATGATTAATTTCAGGACACCTGATTTTGTTTGTTTTTTCTAATATGGGGTGTCAAAACCCAAGACGAACATGTCAACTAAGCATATAGAAAAAAACTTAGAATGGACTTATATGTGAGGAAAACAAAACAATTAGACATATAGATACCTAACATATACATGCACATGATTTCACAAAAATACCAAAATGTCTGCATGGGTTATCATATAGCCTTATTTGTTTATTTAACAGATCACCTAACCCTCTGCCTGTATTATGAGGGTCCACTGGGACAGGATAACTGGTAGAATAACATTGATTTTCTGCTTCAGTGGCTGCTTTCAGATAATAATGGTGTACTAAACAGTGAGGAATATCACTTCAACCTTAATACAACAGGAGTTAACAAATCTCAAAACTCGAAGTTAACACCAGTAGCTATAGGTCTTTGTTCCTGGAGTTGGTGTTTGGATTTCTTATCTTCTCAAGGAAAATTCCCGAGGAAAGCTTACGTGAAATGTAATTTGAATTCTTGTTCTATGCAATTGTAATTACAGTGTATGTATACTAAATTAAAATAAAAGTCCCTTTTGTTGAAATTGTAAAATATAAGAAAATACTGTTATGCAAGAAGTGCAGGTGGAACGAAAGTTGCATAATTTCCCTATTAAAAATGATATAAAAATAATGAAAAATAGACGAAGTTTAATCAGCTATTAATTTTGTCACATGTGTTGTCTAGTTTTATATGTTCACATAGTCAATAGTCCCCAAAAGCTACCTTAGATAATTATAAAATTAAAAACTCCATCATGTCCCTGATCAAGACTAAATTTCCTCATTTTCTCTTAGTGATCTTGACCTTGTTACATTAAAATGAGCTTGAATTATATTCTTAACCATACTGTCTCTCTATTCTTTTTTTTCTTTTGAAATACATGTACCTCTAATGTATTAATTACCTTTTCTGCTGCTTCTGGGTCATCAGGATTCTTGTCTGGATGACATTTTAATGCTAACTGTAAAAAGAAAAGACCAAGTTAAGTTCCTACAGAGTAACTTCAACACAGTTATGTAAATTTCCATTTATTTTCACTTTAACGAGTCATTCTTTTTAATGAAAATACCAAAATTTATAAAATGTGCACTCATGTTTTTAGTTGTTTTGTAATGAATTACTGCAAACCAACTTTTCTTCGCATGCAAGAATTATCTGCGAGTTTCGCCCAACCTTCATTGACTCATGAATATTATCACTGAGAACCATTTTCTTTGCATTGCATATGTAGTAAATTCTTCCTTAGTAGTGAAAATTAATTGTCAAGGAGATGAATCGAGAATAAAAGATGACCCAAATAATAGTATGGCAAAATATCAAGCTTCTAACTTATAAACTAGAGGTTTAGGATACTGTTCTTTTGAGTTTTTACAGGAAAAAAAACAGACAGACCCAGCTAGGTTTTTAAATTTCATCCCCCCCTCTACCTTCTGAAAGGTGTTCAACCAACTGTAGTATTATTATCTTGTGACTTGCAATTGTGCATCAATTTGTGCATCCATCATATGATAAAAATTAATAACACTTACCCTTCTGTAAGTCTTCCTTATTTCTTCGTGTGGTGCACCTTTTTCTACACCCAGTAACTCATATAAACTGTTTCCAGACTTTCTGTGGTAATAAAAAATATATTTAAATTAAATGGATTCTGTTATGAAATATATATTCTCATACATGCATGAACAAACCCATATATATAACACTGAATAATCCAGTTTCAGGGGATGACAAATCCCATTGCCCTACGCCCGGGGCTAGTCAATATTAATGGTGCACAAGTGAGCAACTGCCTGTGGGCAAGTGACTTAGTAAAATTAATATTTTAGTCATAGATTTTAAGACAGACATGGGGCCTGCATGACGGTAGGTCAAGCAAAACTTCAGGAAGGGCAAGTGAATTCGACCATGTACTAGTCCCTTAAAAATCTTTTGGTCAGCCCCAGAGTTTGATCTCTTTGTAAAAGAGGCATGGTTGTGCCTCCAAATGAATTTGAGCCACTCACTTTCATTGGTCAGTAAAAATCAAGGTCCAAGGGTGAGCACAAAATGTAACAAAAACTTGTTTGTGCCTTTGAATGGATTTGAACTCAGGACCTCTGGCATGCAAGTCCAGTGCCCCATACATCGAGCTGAAGCAATTGAGTTACACTAATTCACTATTTTTATTTTTACCCACTAGCCAAATCTAATAGGATGCCATGTATATTACAACATCTCCACCATACATAAAAAATGCAACTTATAAGCACATCTAGTTCTGAGAGGCAAAAAAGAGAGTCCCTACCATGCCTACTGTCTGAGTTTATCAATTATTTCCATTTTACTATTTTTTTTTTAATCTTAATATTGATTCCCCAGTTTGGATATATTTCCAGTGTTGAAAAGAATAGGCTTAATGTATAGAAAAAAAGACCTATTGATAGAAAAATCTCTGTTTAGTTTTTATACTGTCATGTTACATTCAGAAAGTAGCACATGCACTGTTATCTTGGGCACTCCCATGTTCCAAGATTTTATGATAGGATTTATAAGATTTACTTACGATAGATGTCTTGGACGATTCATTATGTCCTCCAAAAGTGTCTGATAATATTTTTATCCGTAATCAATGGATCTGGTCGGCGGATTCACACTTAACCATCTCAAAATCAATAATTACTGCTCTTGCCACTGACACAGTGAAGGATGCGACCGTCGTTCCGGAAAGTCTTTTATTTCGCAACCTTTAACTTTTACCAAAGAAATCAAAATCTCTTTCCTGTATACTCGTAAATGCTTTTCATTGCTAAAGGAAATTGGAAAATTAGTTCTCGTGCATTTACAAAATATTGTTTTGCTTTAAAAACAAGAAGTTTTTCTCGTTTTCAGTTTGAATTTTACCCTTATATTTCAAGGTGTTGTGTTAGGTCGTACTGAGTTGTTTCGTTCTAAGTATGCTCATATCAAGAGGGGATTTTTTTTTAAAATAATTACACTAGAAACTTTTATTTATAGGAAGAAATTAATAATAATAAAAACAAACAAATCAATCAATCAATAATTTCAGTTATTACTGAAGTTTTCAAAACTTTGAATTTCTTTCATGTTGCTCTTAAATTTTAGGTATTGAAAACAATACCTTTATTTGCTTATTTTTACACAGGAGCACGTGCAAAAAAAAATGCTAAAAATAAATATTTAAATAAAATGAAGAACAAAATAAAATATAAATGTCAAATAAATTCAAATCAACAGGTATATAAATTTTTTGACTTGTATCTTTAAAATAAAGGCCATTTTTATAAAAAATTATAATGGACAAATGAAAACCCCTGTCTTTTTCAAAAGGTATAAAATTTTAATTAATCTTACTGTCATACTGACTATCTCAATTTGAACAGTTGAAATGAATGCTTTCATTTTTTTATGAGCAAAAAGAAAAAAAAACTGATGCTTCACAGATCTACTTTGAAAAAGGACTTGCAAGAAAATATGACTCTGAATATTTAATTTGACCTTTGATATATACATCAAGAAATCAGTTTGTAAAAATATTTTATTCAAAAATTTCAAATAACATACAGAGAAGATATGGTGCATTCTTTATATACAAACAATATCACATTCAATATATCTTCCTAAAACATGTAAATGTTCAAAATGTTTTTTTAAGCCGCTTTCTTTGCTGAATGTTATCTTATCTTTTTGCAGGGGGGTATATCTGAATTAAGTTATAATGTAAATAAATTTCTATAAATTATATAAATGGAAGAGAAAAATATTTCCTAATTTATAAATAAAACTGAAAAATATGTATATTTTCTTATGTGCATTGTGTACATTAGAAATGTTAAATATATCACAATTCATATGTTTTGTAAAAATGAATCGGTGAGACCCTGCTCTTAATTTAAATTTTTATTAAAAATAACAAATTAAATAAAATGGAACAAAATGTTATAGACCTTAAATAAATTGTGTAAGAGGCCGTTCATTTTTTACTGGTTCTCCAATCCATTTTTATAACAGGACGTATAACTTTCTTGGTACAAAATTTTAATTAATCTTACTGTCATACTGACTATCTCAGTTTGAACAGTTGAAATGAATGCTTTCATTTTCTTACGAGCATAAAGAAAAATCTGATGCTTCACAGATCTACTTTGAAAAAGGACTTGCAAGAAAATTTGACTCTGAATATTTAATTTGACCTTTGATATATATTACATTTTGTATATTTTATCAAAAATTTCTTAACATCAATGCTGCATTCTTTATATACAAACAATATCACATTCAATGTATCCCAAAACATGTAAATGTTCAAAATGTTTCTTTTTTTTATTAATAAATAATTTTTTTTTATAATGTTATAACATTGAAAGTTATTTTCCCTGAAAAATATTACATTCATATGTGCATGTCAATAAATAGGAAATATATACATGTACATATGTTTTGTAAAAATGAATTGAGAGACCCTGCTCTTAACTTTGGGTTTTTATTTAACAGTTGGGATCTAAATGTTTCCTTCATCATAGATTGTGTATGACCCCATTTTTTTTCTCCAATCCAGATACACAAATGAACAAAAAAGCATCACACCTACAATGAAGTTTCATTTCATTAAAATCTACTTTGAAAATTAAACTGAATCAATTTCTTCTTCAATGATGCATGTATAATGCAAAAGCCCATTGAGCTCAACTTTAATCCTTATAGATATTTCAATGTTTTAACTTGGTCTCATTATTAACTAGTCTAGAGATAATGAGGATTGACTATTTTTATAAGATCAATATCATGTACGACAGCTATGTAACATGCATTTAGTATGCTAGGAAGGGAATTGTTTTTTATTTTTTATACCGTATAATCCCTATTATAAACCGCCCCTGCCCCTATAAGCGCCTCCTAAGTCTTTTTCAATTGTATGTTTTTTAAAATTATTAACTTTAATCTTTAAAATTTGAAGAAAGTTTTGAAACTTGTCTATTATCCAATTTATCGGTGAAAAATTAATCATTTAGCATAATTTGGGTAGATTATCTTCAGTTAAAATAAAGTTTAACATTATTTTAGTGGTTCTTTGAATTCATTTTTTTCTCAAGAGGTTTTCTTGAAGTTAAAATATGATATCAAATATTATGAAGAGAATACCACAATAACCGCCCCTATGTTTTTCACAAAATAAATTCATTCCTACCTAATTTAGATACATCACGTATGTTTCTGTGTTCATCATCAAAGAAAATCATATCCTGAAACTCAATTCCACTGTCTCTTTTAATCCTGTCAAAAGTAAAGATACTGAGTAAAAATTTCATATTTCAGATGAAAGGTCAGCTTCTAGAACATATAACATTTTGAATGATGAATACCATGAAACTTGACAGGAGACAGGTGAGTGTATTCTCTCTGAAAGTGTAGATGAGAATGCCATTTTGGAGATGGGGGTTATTCCATATACATGTATTTCAGATTTAGAGTTACATACCTTGTTAATGACACAAGACTCAGAGCCTGTGCTTTCATTTTACTGGTGGTAAAAGATATAATTTATATGTACATAAACAAATACTTTAATAATAAATAAGATTTAGCAAAAACATATGACATAACCAGGGAGGAGATACAATACATGTATATACATTAAAACACACTTAGAGCAAATACATGCACTTATATTTATGAACTGACACTTATAAGAAAGTAATTTTCATTCACCATGACTTAAAAATATATATTGTTAATTCAACAGATATAATGAACTATGCTTATAATGAAGCAAAATTAAAGTGTGTTTTACTGTACATATACCCTAAACCTGGTCCAGAGGACATTTATATGCAGCAGTTTGATGTGAAACCTCTTCAATGTCAAATCATGAGAATAATTTTTTTCTTTTGCATAAAAATAAAGACGAGTAATTTTATTTCGCGTGTGATGCTTCTCGCGAAATTAAGCGATAAATAATTCCACGCGTATATTAAGGAATCTACAGTATCTTTAAGACTTACTTTGTAAAGTGGGTTGTTTTGGTTCCAGGATAAATTTGTACATAATCAAAATATTGATCCCATTCAAAGCATTTGATTAACTCCTTTGCTTCACCAGTGCAAGATGTTCTAAGATGAAGAGAGAAAAAAAATTAAAATAAAATGTATGAGGCAATAAAAATGTGATGATATTAAATACTGTAATTTATGACTGGTAGTTCACACTTTCTGAATTTAAGCACTGTTTATGGTAAATGAAACATCTTTTTGATCATTATAATAAACTACATATTTTCATGTAGTACATAAACTATAGGGTAGGTAGGTAGGCATAAAAAAATTTTCATGTATGAAACATTAATGACAAAAGAAATGGTGTTTTCAAGCATTACTGACTTAACTTATTTGCCAGCAGAAAAGCTTGCAAAGTTGGAATTTCCCTGTAAATGTATTAAATTTGGCATGTAAAGCAGATATTTTTTTTCTAGGCCTGAATAAAAAGTAAAAATCTGCCTATTTGCCAGCAGATTCATCAATTACTGTAAATGTATTATATTTGGCGTGTATGATATTAGGCGGAAAATCATGCTTCAACAATTTAGCGCAGATTTGATTTAGCGCTGTCTGAATGTGCTAGATATAAATCTATGATAAACAAGACATTTAGCAATGTACTTGATTTAGTGGACGATGCTTTGTGCTAAAATCGCTATATAAAATACACCGCTAAATGTTATATGTTTACAGTATATATATTCTTTGTGGACAACGTCATTGAAAAATACCTTGAGGCCACACCAACTTTAAAACCGTCTCTCTTCAACTTTTCTAAAATTCTAGGTACAGCTTGATAATAAGGCACATTATTCCCATGCCTATCTTTGACATCAGTTTTGCTAAAATAAAAATTGTTTAAACATTTGTCATTTGTGTAATGTATACTTTATAGAGTATGTTGAATCGATTTTTCTCTGTCTTTAATATTAGGGATGTGCGATTTTATTGGTATATATCGCGATCTTTTGTTGCTTGACTAAACCCTAAAGGTATTTAGGTACATATTATAAAGTCCATAAATTATATATTCATTAATATGTTTAATCTTTCAAATTACAATTATAGAAAGTCTAAAAAATGTTGTAAAAGGTGAAAAGAACAGCATCTTACCATCCAAACATGATTAATTTTATGTACCGGTACATAAGAATTTCAAAAAAATGAAATTTTGGTTTTTCTAGCATATTTTTAAGAAAAATAATGAAAGTTCATAAAAAATTATTGTAAAATTGCTTGTAAAAATATAACGATATTATCGTGATATTTTGGGGAAAAAATCCTGATATATCGCGATACGAAATTTTTGGCGATACCCATCCCTATTTAATATATTGTCTTGACTAAACCCCAAAGGTTGATTCATATATAGGCACTCATGATCTTAATAGCTAAAAAAATTACATCTACAATAGTATAGCAGATGCATATTATGTTTTTTAACAATTAAGATGGGGAGTGACTATGGGTTGATTGAGAGAGAAAGGGGGGGGGGGGTAGCGACTAGTTCCATCAGTTTGACTTTTTTTTAAATCTTCAAGTCTTTGAGAAATTAAAATAACTGATTCTACAATCGTTAAAAGTAAATTCTGTTTCATTAATTTTCCAGAAAAATATCAATTTTACAATTTACCTTATTTTCTTAAAAGGTGCATCATAGTGTGTGTCAATCCAAAAAGGCCACAACGTGTAATCTGTGGAAAAGAAGATGTACATGTGTAAGTACATCTAAAAAACAACTAATTACATCTACCATAAATCTCTCATTAGATTTTGATCGTTTGTTGAGCCTACCTAGGTCAAAAACAAGTATTTTTGGTTTTCTTTCCATCCTGTCAGAGTAAAGTGAAAGTAGAAATGAAAATTGTCTTTTAGACAAGTCGAACAAAATATTTTCGAGAAAACATTTCTGATGCGCAACATTTAGACTCTATCCTCGAAAAAAGAAACAAACTTATGTAAATCAGATTTGTTTCTTTATTTGAGATTAACACCAAATTTTTACTCATAAATCTCAGGCACATAGTGTCAGGGAAGGGGTGGGTGGACAGGCGGTCCCCTCTTTTTTTGTAAATGACGTCATCAAAATATGACATCCTGGGTACCAAGCGAGGATTCTTTAAACCTGAAAAAGGTCAATTTATAATCATACTCATTTCTTGAAAAAAGAAAATAACATTAAGTTATGAGGAAAGTTAAATAAGCTGTGTGTCGAACAGTCGGTCATAAAATGTACCCCGAATCCTCGAAAATACTAGTAAGGGAAACTAGGCCTGAAAGACTTGACCCATCGTCTCAAGCCACGGTCCGGAGTCCGCATATAGCTCTCTCCTACCAGAATGGGAGAGGATCGTACATTTTGGCCGTGGTTTGCGACGATGGACTTGACCATGACTTGTAGACTCAGTTTGCTCCTTCAGTACGTAATTGGACAATTTGAATCAAGAGGCCCATGGGCCACATCGCTCACTACCCTAGCTGCAGGGTTCTTGATCTGAACAATATAAAATCTATACACTACCCCATGTTGCTTTCACATAGGTTTCAGCTTTTCTGGCCCAGTTAGTTCTTGAGAAGAAGATTTTTTCTTATATACATGTATTTCAATTGCATGGATTCCCTATTGCGGCCCCGCCGTATCCCCGGGGTTCATGATTTGAACAATTTAGAATCTACACTAACCCAGGATGCTTCCACATAAGTTTAAACTTTTCTGGCCAAATAGTTCTTGAGAAAAATATTTTTCCTATATATTTCAATGTAAAACTTGAATTCCCTATTGCAACAACGCCACACCGCCTTGGGTCATGGTTTTTATAATTAGAATTTACACTACCCCAGGATGCTAGCACATAAGATTCAGCTTTTCTGGCCAACTGGTTCATGAGAAGAAGATGTTTAAAGATATTTCTTATATATTTCAATGTAAAAATTGGATTCCCTATTGCGGCCCGCCCTATCCCCAGGGGTCATGATTTGAACAATTAAGAATCTACCCTAACCCAGGATGCTTCAACATAACTTTCAGCTTTTCTGACCATAAACTAGTTCATGAGAAGATTTTTCCTATATATTTCAATGTAAAACTTGGGTTCCCTATTGTGGCCCCGCCTAACCCCCGTTGGTCATGATTTGAACAATTTAGAATCTACACTACTCCAGGATGTTTCCACATAAACTTCAGCTTTTCTGGCCAAGCGATTTGTTAGAAGATTTTTTAATGACCCGTTCCTATTTTTGTCTTTTCTTGATTATCTCCCCTTGTGAGGGAACTCCTTCATTTTAACAATTTAACCTTCCTTTCATCCAAGGATGTTTTGAATTAACTTTGGTTAAAATTGGACCAGCAGTTCTTGAGAAGACGTCGAAAATGTGAAAAGTTTACAAACGGAAAGACAGCTAGACGGATGACAGACAAACTGTGGTCAGAAAAGCTCACTTGAGTCTTCAGCTCAGGTGCGCTAAAAAATGGAGAGTTTCAAGCTTGAAAGGTTCAAAGTTTACGATTTTAAATTTGTCTTTGATAACAAATATTTATACAGTTATGACTAGGAAAAGAAAAAGAAATGTTCAATTCCAAGAAATCAAAGTACTGAAAGCAGTCTTGGGAGTTGAACATGGTGTAAAATAAAATCTTTGATCGGGAGGTTAAGTGAGTGAACAATATTATTATTTCAAATACAGACAACTGTTTCAGATTTTTTGAGTTGAAACAATCTTGATCAAGACATTCAGAGACATTGAATAGCAAAAAAATGCATGGGCCATAATGCTTGCCTGTATACATTAGTCCTTTTTTATACCCCCTACTTGAAAAGCGGGAGGGTATTTATTAATCGGGATTTCCGTCCATCTGTTTTTTACGCTTTAGGTATTATCATGTTGTAAATTTTGAATTTACTAGGGGGAGGTAAATGCAAAATTTACAAGTTATCATGTTGTAAATTTTGCATTTACCTCCCCCTAGTAAATTCAAAATTTACATGATAGTATACCCATTTCTTATCCACAACTCTTCTTACACCACTGAACGAAATTTTCATAGAATCTTAATTACATATTGCCACCTTCTATTACTTTTTCATCCTACACATATTTTGGGTTTCCCATTGCAAAACATGGACACTCCCATTATATTCATATTAGAGGCGGTTGATCATTTATATAATTCACTGCTCACAGTCTTCAAATTTGTAAATATATTTTTCCTTCAAGTTGGCACCTTTATCCATGTGTTATGAAAATTTCAGTTTCGCAGGAATAATATCATTGTTGATAAAATGTGGATTTTAACACAGCATCCTTTTAAGAGTTAACAGGTTTGTTATATAAAACTGCTCTGTGAATATAAATGTATTTCAATTACACGAACATTATACATCGAGTACGTCAGAACTTAATTTTTAAAATTTTGAAGAAAAAAGCAATACCAAGTAAAAAAAAAAATTAAATGACCAAACATAAAAACAGTGGTATATGTCTGTGTTTGTGTGTGTATAAATTATCTTGTATGTAAATTGTTTTTTTTTCTTTTATTTAAAAAAAATATATACTTCATTCTGTTGTTTTTAATCGCGATTTTACGAAAACATGGGTGTCCGTTTTTGATTTTAACATTTATAACAGAGTACTAGATTTACCGCTTTTGGCAGGTGATACTGCTGATTTAGTAATAAATACGCATGTTTCCTAAAGTTTTTATGCATTAATGAATTCATTTAAACCAACAAAATGTTCATGAAAAGTTTGAATAAATTCTGTGCGCCGGTAAAAAAGAAATTGCTAAAAATCCGGGACCGTCGGGAAGACTAGATTTACCGCTTGCCGTCAGTATGTAGAGTTGTCGTTCGTATCTCTTTCAGTGTATGACGCTACACTAAAAATACATTTATAACAAAAACTTTTAGGTTCTTTATAATTTAGTTTTTACTTTGAACGGAATCTGATATTCAAAATAAGATTACTTTATCATTACATTTACTTACATTTCAAATTATGGAAAAAAAAATTAGATCAATTCAGGAGAAAATGACATGAACTATTTGTGGCGGATGTTTATGCATGTTTTCTGTTGAATATCATCGGAGTAAATCAGCTGACACAGTAGCCTCGCTTTCGGCTCTATATAATCAACACAAATTACTGCGCATGTTAAATGCGTGATGACCATGGGAGATTGAACATAGTTCAACTCCCAAAAAGACAATAGCAGTTGAGGTTGGAGATACCCAGGGCAAATCCACCTCTCCCTCTACCCCTCCTCCTCCTGTGTGTACAATAACAGAACACGATACCCCTACTGCTGAGGATAAAAACAAGAAATGCCGAGGTAATAAATATATTCATAAATACATACAGACAAATGATATACTGCCCTAAAATATATCTTCACCTTGCCCCTACTGTAAATGACATATGGACATAATCGGAGAAAAAAAGTAATATGTTTGGAAAAGGTTTAAATTGTAGTAAATACATGTAAATAAAAATCTGATCAATTTTTGAATCATGTATAATTGACATCATTGGTGTTTTTTTTTTTTTAAATATTACGTTTTAAACCCCAAGCTTTTGTTTTGAGTTTTCTAAATTTATAAACAGTGACAGCAGAGGATGAAGGTCAAGAAGAGGCAAGGACAACGTGATGTGTTTGTGGAAGACGATCTCGATGATGACAACTATATATGCCTACGCAGGAGAGACATGTTGTTGTTGATGTTAGATTTTAAAAAGATATTCAAAATGGAAAAATGTTGGGGAAAATGTTGGAAAAAATATATGTTGTTTTATTTCCTTTTGATATGTTCTTACAGTTTGAAAAAAATCTTGGGAACAAAATTTTAAAATATTAAGCTGTCAATAGGACAAAGTCCAAGGTCAAAAGAATATAGTTGATACCAAAAAAGAAGTTTATCACAAATAACACCCTAACATCAACCATTCAAAACTTAGACGCAAGGTTAAAGTTTTTCTTTAAATGAAGGCAATAATCAGAAGTCAAGGTCAACTTTGACATCAAAGAAAGGTCTTATCACATGGAATACGCAAGTGAAATATGAAACCCTAGCTTCAACGCTTCAAAAATTATGTCCATGCAAGGTTAAATTTTGGTAAAATCTTCCATATCAAGTCAAATTGAAAAAGTTTCTGGGCCTTGATGTCTAATATTTTAGTACTTCAAGATCTTGTAAAAAGAAAGAGACTTGTGAAATATGAAAGCCTTGAAATCAACCATTCAAAAGTTATGAATTAAATTTTCTTTTTTGGATAAACTGATAAACAGACAGACAAATAACTATATACATCCCAGAATATTGATTATAGGGGGCATAAAGACTTGCAGAGCTTAAGATCCACTCCTCAAAGCTGACTAAGTACTATGCATTGTCCCGCACCGAATAGGAAACTTTTCAGCGATAAAGTCTTCGTAATTGTGCTTCTAAATCACCGCTAAAGGACCATCCTCGCAAAGAGCATATATAATACATCAAGACAGCATTCAACATGATCACGTGACAAAGTACGTCACTTCCGTTCCATACAATGACAAACTAACACAAACTAAAGGTTACAAAACCTGAACAGATTTACTCGCAGAGCATCTTTAAATGCACGTGTTAATTCTTTTTTTCTAAGAAAAATTTCTTGATTGTTTGTATTGCGTCATGCATTCGGCTCTGTTTATAAACATAAACGTAATGGTTTATTAAACTCTTCCACTGTAATTTGCTTGCGCACGTTCGCCATATCAAAAATTTTCTGTCTAAAGTGCAGGCAGTGAGTAGGAAATGCCAAATGTTTGGAGGTTTCCAAATCGGTCTCAAACAAGAGTGGATTTAAGAAAAATATTTCTTTTTGCCAGAAAAAAGATGCCT